AAAAAAAAAAATCATCAAAAAAACCACTTAATTTGTTTATAACTATTAATTGCACGCACTTACATAAAAAATACCACCGGATTCGGATTTCTCATACCCGAAAACATAAGAAAACACCTCAAAACCTTACCGCACTAGAAGTGCACACGGGAAGGGGGTATTGCGTGCGGACTACAAACGGTTTAAGTCGATTTTGGCTATTGGCCAGTTTTCAATGAATATCTCGAAATCTAAGGGAGATAACAAAATTTTTCTCATAACCTTTTTAATAGCACTCAATTCGCTCTATAATAGTACATTGTGTTACTAGTGCGTAAAGTTCTACTTTTTCACACGCACGTGTAACACATCCTATTTTTTGTGGTACCTGCCGAATTCACTTTTCGAAACGGTAGTGGGGGTAATGTGGTTGTTTTTGTGCAGGAGTGCGCAAAGTTCAAGAGCGTGCGTAAAGTGAATTTCGAGTGCGTAAAGCGAAGGTTTACGCACGAGAGGCAGGTATCACAAAAAAAAGGTTATAGGTATAGGTAGGTTATTATGAAAATTTCGTCATCTCCCTAAATTTCGGAAACATTTCTGGAAAACTCAACCAAACACTAAATTGACTTAAACCGTTTGACCACTTCGCTACGGAATTGAGTAATCCTTCAACCACGAAAGATGCATTACACTCATCCGCCAACGTATTACAAGTGATTTACCATCATTTGTTTATAAATGATAGTTTTCGGCTGAAACCTATTGCTCTAGTTCGATTCAGTTTGTAATTCCGCTTGAAATGAGAATAATCCCGCCATCTCTCAACGTGCCACTACACTAGAAAATTCGATTGGTACGACTTTTCAGAGGACATCCAGGACCATCATCCAGAGATCGCCAAATTTGTAATATTTTATTGCGGCTAATATTGTAGCCCTTAATTAGATAACATCACTCTTGAAATTTTTTGAGTACTCAAGTATCATCAATTCAAATATTCAAATTTTCAACTATTTTATCAATCAATAATTGAGGTAGGAAGATTGACGATTACTTGTGTAATCGAAAATCCCTCTTTCAAGAAATTTGAATTATTCACTTAGTAGGAAATTTACAGTTTCAGATTAACAAATTTTAAATACATCATTATTCGTGGAAAATCAGATTATTAATATTATATTATTAGAAAAATTGAATCAACATATTTTAAACCTTCATTAATGTAAGGGTCAAATTCTTGTAATATTACAGAATGACAGTCCTGGAATTGGAATACTCAACTAGGATTGGTTGAAATTTATGATTTTATGTCGGCATAAAACGAGCAAAATCGCTCCCCTGGTTCCACTGCCTCCCGAATTGTCGCCATTTTCCCTAGAACTTGTCCAAAACCGAATGTGTCCATCTGAGACAACCCCCCCCCCCCCCAACACGAGCTTTTCTGCAGTTCCACTACCCAGAACTAAGCCTCCACCCCTAATTCCGAGAAATTAACCTCACACGACACAACTGAGAACAAGACCCCGGCTCGCACAAATGTAATTTATTAATTTATTCTGATGAGGGAGTTGAGACAGACCCACCCCACAAAACGCAACAAAAAAGAGTGAGTAATGTTCACCAAATACAACGCCCAGCCCCAATCCTCAGCTGTTGGTGAGTCCACTTTAAGGACCTGTCAACGATAAAAAATTCAACTCCTTGTCAATGTTCCATCATCCATCACGAACAAAAAAATATCCCAACAAAAAAACAATTATCAAAAGAGTTCTCCGTATTTATCTTTCCGTACTTATACTTCCAAAAAGTTAGGTTAACCCCAAAGAATTGTCTGTATCTCTCGATCGTTTGTCATCAATCCGGCAATTCCCATATTTTTTACATTCAACAACCCATATTGCTCCATTTCGCATGCATTTTGTTTCATCTGAACATCTCCGAAGTTAATGTTACTTTTGTTTTTATCATTCATTCTTTTCTCTCGTTTTACTGTATTGACACACTTAATTTTATATCGTCTCATTTTATTTTAATAAACGCCTTTTGGTTAATACCCACGCGTTTCAATATTGTCAACTTTTTTTTTGTTATTATAGTATTATTTTTCATTAAAAAACTCCTAACTTCTCAGCCATTATCGTTCATCACAGCAATTTAATCCAAAAATAATCGAAGAATAGAATGGGAAAACAAATCAGTTCATCCACTAATTACCAACGTTTCAGGGCATAAATTTATTCTGCACATAAAAGGAAACCAAATCTCAAATAATATATCTAATTACAAACCAGTACTATTTTCAAGAAATATTGCAAAATTGAAATGAATGAATGAATGAATGAATTGAGTATTTTTTTTTTATTCGTAGGGGAGGTTGGGGTAAAATGGGCATTTGACTTTTTAAAAAATATTAGTGACGGGTTGAAATGTTGATGAAATTCAATAATTTTTTTTTGAATACAAAGAGCAATTATTTCCCTTTTATGAGGAGCCTAAATTGAGCTCTATTGATACATTTGTTTCTGAGTTATGAATAATTTTTAAAAAGTCTAAATTGTCCATTTTACCCTACCCTCCCTTAAATGAGATCGCTGAGTGATCCTCGAGGGATCACCAGACCGCCCAGACAGGCTAAGCGATACGAACATTTCCTAATCGCTCCGTAATAGCGCTCCCTCTAACCAGAGGTTGAGCTCTACTGTAGTCCAGAATCATGCTACCTAAGTAAAATAATTAGTTATTATTATTATTTATGCCTAGAAATTTTTTTCTCGCGGTTAGGTGTATATCGAAGAATAATTACTCGTGGTTTAGCAGAATAAAGGTGTTGTATTTAGCACGTCAGATGTGTTTACATCGAGCTTGAGAATCGGACTGAGTTCGACTGAGATATTTGGTTTAGGAGCGTGCGGGTTTAAATACCTTTTGTTATGGAAGGTTCGAGAATTGTCCAGAAATTTCGTGAAGGGCAAGAATAGTATGATGTTTGTCTCGAATACGACGATATAGAATATTCGAGACGCGTTATATGAATTTCGAAATAATAATTCGTTTGTGGCTCGCGCCACATTTTTATTGAAAAATAAAAATCTATAGAATTTTTTCATTTAAAAAAACATAAGCCAACAGCATCCTCACCGTGTTTTTTTTCATGACTTTAGTTGAACCATTCAATAAATTAATGAAATTGAAGGAATGAAGAAATAAATTTGAAAATTGTGTCAGGGCTCACGAATAAAGAACATTTACCCTTAAAATTTCAGATAAAATCAAAGTATCGACGATAAATCACTTCCTCATTCAATTCCTCCGTAAAACACGTGTGAACAATTGACGTTAGGGAATAAATACCATTCGAGAAGCCGAGGTGAAAGGGAAAATCAGGATGACGAGACCGCCGAACAACGAGAACCTCTTGACATTCAAATTAGTTGTGGTTGGCGATGGGGGTGTGGGCAAGAGTGCCCTGACCATTCAGTTCTTCCAGAAGCTTTTCGTAACGGACTACGACCCAACGATAGAAGACAGTTACATCCAGCATACTGAGGTGGACAAGCAGTGGTGCATCCTCGATGTGCTAGACACAGCGGGTCAGGAGGAGTTCAGCGCAATGCGAGAGCAATACATGCGCAAGGGGGACGGATTCCTCCTGGTGTACTCCGTCACGGACAAGCAGTCTTACGAAAATATTATCAATTTTTACACGCAAATCCTCCGGGTCAAGGACAGAGATGTTTATCCGATGTTGCTAGTTGCTAATAAAGTCGATTTGGTGCACCTGAGGAAAGTTACTGAGGAGCAGGGGAGGGAATTGGCGCACAGGCTGGGCATTCCTTATATTGAAACTTCAGCGAAGGATCCACCACTCAATGTTGATGCAGCATTTCACGAGGTAATTTAATTGTTCACGCAGACTCGAAAAAATGATATTTTTCCAAAAATCGATTTTTCAACGATCACTCAAAAAATTGTCATCAAAATGGAATTACTCACGGCTCAGAAAATTGATAACAATACCCTCTTGATTCTATCAGAATATGATAGGGGTCGCACAATTCGTTGTTGAGTTACAGCACATTGTTTATGCGATTTGGACGAGAAAATCGGTTTTTTCATGATTACTGAAAGAATCATCAGTAATAGCAATTAGATCAGGGCTTGAAAAGTATATTTCAATGGCTTCTTAATCAAGTTGAAAAATGGTGAGAACAGCATCATTGCTTATCAAGTTACACAATACCGTCACGAGCTTTTTACATAAAAATCTCTATCTCTATTAAACTCAGGTACTAGTCTATTATGTTGAATACTTATTAATATTGATTCATGGTCCCGACTAACTTCTGACAGAACCTGGGTCAAACTCTGGCTAGATCCTGAATAAACCCTGATTGAATCCCGGCTATACAATGATTAAACCTTGATTGAACCTTCATTAAAGCCGACTGAAAACGAATTCGAGTCTTGAGAGGGTCTGAATGTAGAAATATTTGACAGAACGAAATAATTCACAAAATTTTGATGACATTTCATCTGATGATAGTACTACGAGATGAAAAAATAGAAGAGAATAGTGAAATAAGAATTTATTAACAACAATTCGAAACATTGTCACTCAAAGAATTGTTTCAATAATTCTTTCTTGTAGATAAATTCAATTAAACTGGAGAGGAAATGAATCCTTCCTGTAATTTCTTCAATCCCTATGATTCACCAACTGCTCTCCCCATTTTCCAGGTTGTACGAATAATATGGAACCAACCGCCCACAGAACTGGAAAAAAATCGCCGGAAAAGAAGGCGATCTGGCAAATGCAATATTCTGTGAATTCTCTGCCCAAAGTAATTTGCAGGTAAATCCAATCAGCCGCATTGTAAAATACTGACTATTGAGATGGCTAGACCACCGTATGATAATTGACACAACAATTAACTATACTGCCTGTGGAATTTTCCTTCCTGGAAAATGCTAAAAACTCATCATCAGAATGTTTCAACTGATGCAAATGAAAATAATGAAATGTTGCTATTCAGAGGACTGAGGCACCTATTCTAGCGGCAAAAACTTGACGTAGAATTACGAAAAACAGTGTGAAAGTTCTCTGTAGCTGTGATAATCGGCGATAAACGCTGAATCGTCGAGGAATACGAGTTGTTTAAATTTCGTGGCTTGATATTGTAAAGACGTTATCAATTGTAATATGTGAACATTATTATGTACCAAAACAAGCACAATCGAAGAGTATAGATTTTCTACGATCTCATCATTATAATAATGATTAACGTTTTGGATAAGAAGGGCGAAAACTATATCGGAATGCTTTTTATTTTTTCAATGATCCAGGATATCTAACGAAATGTAGTTAACGATTACGATATCCATAGAGATGAATTGACGGGGCTTCTCAGTGATGAAGTGCTGTCGCTAAATGACTATAATTATTTTTATAATCAATGAGCTAATGATGAACACGCGGTACGTGCAGAAAATATACTCTATCCGGTGATTACGAGATGATTAAATTTTTAATGTGATGATTTTTGGTTTAAGAATTCATTATGGAAGGGATCGTGAGGATTTGATTTTTAAGAATTGATCTTTAATTTTTAGGAATTGAAATTGAAGATAAATTTCATTATTATGAAATTACACGAGTTTTCATGAATTTTCAAATTCTTGGATTTGATTTATTACGTTTTACTTGATGAAATCATGAATATTTATTTTTTTATGAATTTATCCTTTCATTTGGATAAGTTTGTAGAAATTAATTCCCAGTTTTTAGAAATTAATTAGTAACAAAATCCCAAAATTAATTATATTAATATCCCAAATCCCTAAAATGTCGACTGTTTTTTCCTCTTCAGTTTCTGAACATCACAATTTCATTTTCGTATTTAATTCGCACACTCTCACAACAGCAGTATAATATTGTTATTTAATTCACAATTTCACACGAAGAAAATCAATTCGCCAACACTTTGCAAACACATGAGTATTAAATAGGAAATTTATGAAAGAATTGATGCCATACGGCCTATTTTTAGTATGCAACGTAAGAATAAAACTGAAAACTAAGTGAAATGAGGAGACGAGAAGCACAAAACATATGCACGAAATGTGAATTTGGTTTATGTGTATGTGTGATTTCGTGTGAGTGTTCTTGGAGAAATGAATTTTGTTATTTGTCAAGAGTATAAAATTACTGAATTATAGATAGACATTCGTATAAATATGATTAAACACGCGTACATGTATTCTCAGATGTAAAAAATCCACATCTGCAGGAGTATATTTATGTATGTGACAATAAAAATCCTGAAAAGAGAATCTGCTTCACGGACATTGCAACACCGAGGGAAAAAGTTATTTATACCAAAGAAAAGCTCGAAATTTCGGTCTTAATTATTACACGAATGAGTGAGTTTGAGTGGAGTAATTTCTTTTCTGGATTCCATGTCGTCATTCTGATGTATCTTCTTGTCTTGTAAATAAAATCAAAGCAATAACTATTTATATTTGCAAGAGAACAATAAAGTTGGTGACTTGTGAAGAGAGATTGAATTTAATCATTTGATCCTGGTAATAATCCTAAATAGTTGATATAGTTCATATTTGTAAAAAATAGAATTCTTCATCGAATTTCAATGGAATTTTAATAGAATTCCAATAAAATTCTTGTGGAAAAAATCCTAGTAGAACAATTTATATAGGAATATCAACATCTATACGCTTTTTTCCATAAAAATTATTTTAATTATTGAAAAATGCACAGAAAAGTTGCAAAATTTTCAATTCCTTCAAAATCACAAAAAAATCCCAACCTATTGACGATTAAAAACGTTTCATTCCCCTCTCTTCTCCCAATATTAACCTTGACTTCAATTCGAAAAACAAATAAACAAGGGAAGTTACTTCCACCAATTGTCACTCCTCACCAACTGAACTTCACCAACAAAACAAAGACTCCAATGCTATTTTTAATAAAACGATTTATATAAAAATATCGACATTCGTAATTTTCTTAACAAAAAAAATGGTAAAAGAAAAACTATTGAGAAAAATGCCCAGAAACAACTAGAATTGGTTTCAGAATGCAAAAAAAATCCAACAGAGTTTCAAGACGCCTTTTTATTTCCCCGCAAGATGAGGTTATGTCTCATTCCCCCCTGTCCCAACAATTGACCTTGACTTAAATTCAAAAAACAAATAAACAAGGGAATTTACCTCCACCAAGTTGTCACTCCTCACCGACTGAACTTGATCAACTTCACCAACAGAACAAAGACTCAAATGAAATTTTTAATTCGACAATTTATATAAGAATATCAAAATTTGGATATTTTTTCTAAAAAAAAAACTATTGAAAAATGCTCAAAAACAACTAGAATTGTTCTCAGAATGCAAAAAAATCCAACAGAGTTTCAAGACGCCTTTTTATTTCCCCGCAAGATGAGGTTATGTCTCATTCCTCCCTGTCCCAACAATTGACCTTGACTTCAATTGGAAAAACAAATAAACAAGGGAATTTACCTCCACCAAGTTGTCACTCCTCGCCACCTGAACTTCCCCAACAAAACAAAGACTCAAATGTAATTTTTAATAAAACAATTTATATAATAATACCAAACTCCATAGATTTTGGAATCTATGGAGACAACTATCGAAACAACTAGAATTGTTCTCAGAATGCAACAAAATCCAATAGAATTCCAAGACACCTTTTTATATATTCGCGCAAGTTGAGGTTATGTCTCATTCCCCTCTCTCCCAACAATTAACCTTGACTTCAATTGGAAAAACAAATAAACAAGGGAATTTACCTCTACCAAGTTGCCACTCCTCGCCACCTGAACTTCCCCAACAAAACAAAGACTCAAATGTAATGTTTAATAAAACAATTTATATAATAATACCAAACTCCATAGATTTTGGAATCTATGGAGACAACTATCGAAACAACTAGAATTGTTCTCAGAATGCAACAAAATCCAATAGAATTTCAAGACACCTTTTTATATTCGCGCAAGTTGAGGTTATGTCTCATTCCCCTCTCTCCCAACAATTAACCTTGACTTCAATTGGAAAAACAAATAAACAAGGGAATTTACCTTCACCAAGTTGTCACTCTTCACCACCTGAACTTCACCAGCGCACCGACGAAACAAAGGCACTCACACACCCTCACCGCGCCCCATGGAGGGGCAAACCAAGACGCTGGCAATTTGTCCTTGCGCACAGTGCCGTTACACAGTGAAGTGAACGGAGACAGTTCGCATACTTTGGCGAGTGGTGGTGGGGGGATAGACCACATGGTTCCCAATCCATCCAGAAGTAACACAAAACATCGCAATTTTCACGAGCCAACAGACAGCACAACCACAATAAAAACATTTACGCAGTTTACGGAAGTTCTTAAAAACGGCGACGAAAACGTCGTATGTCACGTGTCCCTCAGACGTTCATCGGAAATAACAAACTCATGAATTGTTAATAATCGAAGTCATTGTCGTTGACAGAACAGAGGACTGCGGAGTTAATTAAGTGGCGAGTATTATTTTCCGTCATTATTGAGTTTTCGCAGCGGTAAATCGAGCGGAAAAACGAAAGTGTAACGCGTGGGTGCATCAGTTATTCGGTTTGTCCATGCAATTTCGTGATTCTCCGTGTATTTGTATCACGTACCTCGGGGGGTGTAAAAACCAAAAATAGTTGTGGGTGGAACTGATGGTATCATGCGAAGTGATAACTTGATGTAGGACAGTGCATGCAGTGAAGTACATTCGTGGGTAAATTATTTTGTTGTTATTTATTATGGAGAGACTGTCGAAAATAGCTTGTTGCTTTCGATGGGCCTGGGGGGGTCATCGGGGACCTCATGCTGAGAGTGTGAGGCGTGTCGAGAGGGATGTGGAAACCTCCAAGAGACTGTTTGGGATTTTGGAGAGTATTCTTTTGTGGGAGAACTCAGTCAACAGTATTTCTGTCGTTATTGTATTCAATATCCTGTTTTGGTGAGTTTTCATTTTTTTTTCGGGGGTTTTCTGCGATGGAAATTGTTGAATTGTTTTTAATGTTTTTATCATGTTTTGGATTTTTAAGAATTTTTTTTCCTGCAGGTAGAGGTCAATGATATAATATTACTGAACGAAAAATGATTTCATTTCGTAATAATAATGTGATAATATAAAAAAATATAAATCTGAAGCTTGAAAAAATTGTTCACTTTCTAGGAATCGAATGAAACGAGTTTGAGTAAATTTAATGGAGATGAATAATTTTAAGTCTTGTTTAAAAATGTGAGGTGGTTCACTGTGAACGCCGCCATCTTGCTTGGGTACCTCCCACTGCCACAAAGGGCTTCAAAGATGGCGGAGGCTCCACCTCGTATTTTTAAACATTTTCTAAAATTATTTATCTTCTTTAGAGCCCCCTCAACTCGTTTCATCTCGTTTTTATGAAGAGGACAAATTTTTTACGGCATCTTTCAGATTTTTTCATTCACTTTTGACCGCGAATTAATGACGCAAAGTTTTCCCCTCATTACAGAATTTTGTTTTTACTCCCGAGGCGTTAAAAAAAATTCTTTTTATGTTGCTTCAAATATTTCAAATTATGTTTTGAAATTTTTTTATTTTTTTTTCATGAAATTACCTAAAAAAATAATTAAAAATAATTCCATTTCATACAAATGCATAAAACAGTATAATATGAGAGAAAAGAAAAAAAAACACTTGTTTTCTTTGAAATTAATAAAAATTGTCTCCAAGTCGTTGTAAATATTTCAGATCACTTTTTAACATCTCAATAAATAGATGACAAATAGTGTCAACAGAGTTTGTCACATTTGAAATAGTGAATGAGATAAATACGTCAAGGCGTTGCAATTGTTGATTAAGAAATCGATAACAAAGTTTGATTATCATGATTCAGACGAAGCGTATCGGTATGATAAACATTTTCTCTTGATCGTTGTGTGTGTATTATCGTGTGACGCAGCAACATGTTAAAATAGAGTAATAGTATCGAATGGTGATTAGGAGATCGTTCGATGCAGGGGAATCACGTGGGTCGAACGCGCCTCCTCATTTGTTTTTAATTTTATTAATGAAGGAGGACAGACGATTGTTGATACTGTCGGGCTTTTGAATTGCTGGGCTATGTATCAATGACCCAGACACGAATGTATTCATGTTATTTCGATCATGAGATTGTCAACGACTTTATTTAATTTGTTTATCACAATGTTGTGTAAGCATCAATGAGAGTTGCGTTGGGAATGCTTTCGAAATTAATTATGTCATGAGGCAGACGCAAGTGGGGATCAAAGATAAACATGTTTTTGTTTCGTTTTATGTTGTTGGTTTATTCGTTCTCTTCTTTTAAATTTATTGATCGAATGATTCTGCACAAATCGGTTTGTGAAGTTTAATTGAATGTTGATTTATTTCGATACTGAGTGGTTCTAGGAGAAAATGTCGCTGAACATTTTTTGTCGGAAATTTCCTCAGCTACAAAAAAGGTCTTTTGGTATTTTCCTCTAAAATCGAAAGTTTCGCGGGTAAATGCGCGATTAGTGAAGATGAATTGATGAATTGATGTGGTTTTTAGGGGGATAGTTGTATTGGAGATCCGTGGTTTTGCTGCGGCCAGCAGTGCCGCGCTCGTTGTGATCCTCTGTTACAGTACCCTCGAAGCACAAGTTGAGAAGGAGAAGGGCGCATCGGAGTCAACAACGTAAGCATTCACGATCTCCAGAAGATAAATAGATCAATTCTTTACTAGCAAACTAAATAAGTAAATTCTGCATAGACTTGACGTTTTGTTGAATCTTTAAATCTACAAAGATACCAAAATTTCCATAGAGACTATTTTCGCAGCCCTCCCTCCCTTATATTAAAAAATATTAAACTGAAACTGAACCTCTTTTTTTCATAATTCTACATTAATTCCAAGAATTGCGAAAATTCGCTCATTTTCATGATTTTAAATGATCAATTAATCCCCAATATTTTTTTACGATTCACCTCAATTGCCTATAATTAATATGAACATTGACATGTCCAGAGCCCACCCCAAGCCCGAGAAAATCGACAAAATAATCACCAAAGTCAAATCAACGTGCGATAGCCTGAGAACACTACGAGAGAATCAACCTGGAGTGGTAATTATCCCCTATAAACCCCCCAAACGTCCATCTCCCAAACTTTCCAAGAGGTTTCACCCATAAGAAACCAAAAGGTGACATTAATCTGAAAATCACAGACCTTTCGTAATTTCTATGAATTATGCACGAATTATTTATTTAATACTTAATTTAATTTATTATTGAATTAATTATTCTGAGAAAGAAAATCTAAAAATAATTTTTTAAAAATTCCAACCTAATCCAACAGTATAAATTCCTAATTTAAAATTCAGATTGATGTCATCAAAATCTCCCAAAGAATTCTTCAACGAAAAAAATTTCCGTTTTCAGTTCTGCGCTGGTGTTTGCTCAGCCTCGCTAGTACTATGGTTAATAGGGCGTGCAATCAGTGGAGTCCTTCTTACATATACGTTATGTATGAGCATTTTACTGGGGCCCGTATTATTACTCCGATTACCGAGTAAAATTTGTCCAACGAAAGGTACAACTCAGTAAATCCCAGGATTCGATCGAAAATTTTTCCAATCACTCCAATTATTATGATTTTTTTGCAGAATGGGATAATGAGATCGAAGAATTTTTACCAGCAGTCACAGAGGACAATCTGGAGGTTCTTAAGAGGGCGGGAGAGGACGGAGATCATTCTCCAACGCCACCAAGTGGATCTAAGACCCCAAATGGTGAGAAAAATAAAAAGTGAAATTTTTACGTAACATTTCTCGTTGCAGATTTCTGTTATTTCATTTGAGTCATGTAATTTTGAGGATGAGGTATACTTTATGATGAAATTGAATACAGAAATGCAAAGAATTAATTATACAAATGAATTGAAAATTTTATACTCGCTCCCCTGACATTAAAATTCATAAAATTTTACTTTAAAATTTTAAGATAGGAAATTTTAGCATCAAATGGACAATATCTTCATAATTTTATTCCTATCATCAAGTTTTCCGTTGAATTATCGTCTGTGATAATTTTTTATTCTATTTTTTTAAATCCAACAACTCTCTCCCTTATCATTTCATGTTATGTCTCAGTTTTCCTCGTGTTCACTACGATATTTAATTAAATTTTATTATTTAATTTGAGTCAGACAATTTTAACATTGATTTATGCAATTGAATTACTCAATATTGCTCTATTTCATTTGTTGATAAAATTCAAAAAATGGAATCTTGCTGAAAGAAAATTCTAAAAAGTGAAATGTCAGAATGAAATAGATAGTATCTTCATGATTTTATCTCCCTCATCTTATTTCCGTGAAAAAGAAAGAGAATAATGGAAAAATAAGGATTTTTTTTTATCGAATTATCACCTGTAATAAATTCTCTCCCTATATCTCCATCCCTAACGAGCTTTTCCCCTATTTTTAGATCCATTTAATGACGACGAACTTATTGGATTGAAAATGCCATCTCACGAAGATGGCAGCACAGATGGTCTAGAACTCTCAGAATTGGAATTGAGTACCGAGGGGGACAATGACGTTGCTGATATCAAAATACAGACTGGACATTTTGAGGGGAGTTCGTCGTCAGATGACGATGGTGAACTTGAATTGAAAAATCCAGAGACATCGAGTAACAGTGACAACAGTGAGAGCGAATTCGAGATTATTGACAGCCTCGAGATCACTGGGCTCGACAGTAAACTGTGAAAATTCGGGAAATCCTGAAGAATTCTAAGATCATTGTGCATATCGATGAATCAATCCCTTAAACCAGTGATCAAACTGCAGAAACACATAATTAAATTCCCTTCAGGCTTCAATATTTTTTAAAAACGAATTCTGAAGTTGAATTAATTAATTTAGGTCTGGAATTTTTTATCTGATTAATTCAGAATTCTAGGTTTTTGAGAATTATTCACTATTCTATTTTATTTTGGAAATAGTAAAATTGAAAATTACTTTACACTTTGATTTTTATTGAATATCTAAAAAAGAAAATTACGAAATTTCCATTTAATTAGAACCGAAATTTTGAAGCTGATTCTGCAGTTTAATTAATTCATGTAAATCTGCAATTCCAAATGTCCAATTATGAATTACATTTTATTCTCAAGATGATAAAATTAAAAATGAGGTTTTAGTTCATAAAATTGTGATTTTCCTCTTTTGGTGCTTGGGTAATACAACCGTTCTTTTTAATTTTTATTTTGTTAGAATGATAATTATAGTATTTCCTGAGGTGCATCAATGATCTTAGAATCGACAAAAGTGCAGGATAGACACAGATAACTGTGTACTTCGGAACATTCACTTGGACCTAGAGTCAATAGCCCGGTATTTTCGTTCTTTTTGTTACATTAAGATGTTGATCGTGACTCAACAGGAATTATTGATGATTACCTAAATTTAGATAGAACTATTGATTTTACGAATTGATGATTCAATTGATTATTCGTGCTCAGGAAGTATTTTTCAATCAGTGATGAATTTATATCCCTTAAATTTCGAAATAATTATTATTTTCTCTCAAAAAATTCATTTCGCTAAATATTGACAGAAATTTTGTCCTGATTTTGGTTTTCTGACTTTTGCTCAGTTTTCAATGAATATCTCAAAAACTAAGGGAGATATCAAAATTTTTATCATAACCTTTTTTGTAGCCCTCGATTCGTTCTACAAAAAAGGTCATCACAAAAATTTCGCCATCTCCCTTAGATTCGGAGATATTCCTCAAAAACTCAGCCAAGAGCTAAATCGACGTAAAAGGTTTTACCCTTTCGCTAATGAAATGTTAATGGTACAAAGTGTTTTTATTTTCGCAAATAATCGTGCATTCGAGGGCCTACTTAATGATCCTGTTTAATCAGTGAAAGAGAACTGTTTAAATCCGGTATTTGTTTGTAAATGCCTAATGTTAATGGGAAATGAAAAATTTCTCGTACAGAAATGACGCTTAATGCTTACACTTCCTCAAACCGAGTTTCTACAATCGACTTTACGAAATGCTATTAGAGAAGAGTTATTTATTTACACATGTATGATTTCAAAATTTCTACATACATATATAACTATGTACATACACGTTATGTATGCGTGCTATGCGTATCGATATATTTTTAAATATGTGACAAAATTGAATGTGTGAGAATGCTCGCATGTACATTCTTTTGGAGAAACAATAAAAATTCAATCTTCATGTACCTAGTGGGAGTCCATTTTATCGGGTGATCCTGTGGGCTCGAGGCTGCATGATGTATCACAGGGGGCGTCATCTTGGGAGGACATGGGCTCTGCGTTTTTACGGAGGGGGAGAACCTGGAGGAAGGCCTCTTGCCATGTGGTGCCTTCTGTTACCCTCAGGAGAATTTCGAAAACTGAAAGATGATATTTTCATTTATCATTTCGAGTTTTTTTTATTGTCGAGGGGTAATTACTCGTGAAATGGGAAGGGAATTGTTTTCATTATTTTTTCTTACTCTCGAGACTTGAGTGGATTATGCATATTTCATTTTGAAGGTAATGAAATTTCAATTAAAAAATGAGGGTTTAGTTTATAAAATTATGATTTTACCCTTCAGACCTTCATTTTTTTTAATCTTCAAGATAATGAAGTCTTCAGAAATCCAGAAATCTGAACAAATAAAAAGTAACAAACAGAAATCCCCAGAAATTAGCAAAATTTCTTCCAAGTTGCAAAAAAGTAAAAAATGAAATGCAATAATTTTTAAATTAAAGTTACATACCATGATCTATTGTTAAAACTTTCCGACTTTTCATCTTGAGGAATTTGTCTAGAGGCAGGCGTGCATGAGCAACTTTAGCTTTTTGTGCTAATTCATGGCACAAGCCCTGAAAAATAAGCAAATTAAATAACAGAAATGAAGACATCACTCTATTAGTTATCTATTCTTCCCAAGAGAAATTAATAAAGAACATTAGATCAGTGAAAATGTCTACCTTTTGTTGATTATGATCTACTAATCCCCCAATTATATACACGAAATCCTGTTCTAAAGTATCAATCACATTATCAGACTCTGAAGTCAAGTAAATAATTTTTTTCGAGTCATAAATTTCCAGGTAGGACTGCGAACAAAACTTCACCTGTAAAACCAAATTAATTAATTAATGAAGACTCCAACGATAGCATTAATTGGATTCTATTCATTAATTATCTTTCAATAAATGAATAAATCAAAGAACATTATTCATATTATTCAAATCATATTAATAAATATTTATATTTATGAAGTTATTCACATCCCAGTGCTGGTATCCATTGTGCTTCTCCATCTCCTGCTTGGACTTTCCACTAAAACTAGTAACAGAGAATTGCACAGGTGCCAGTGCCCGTCGATTCAACGTGTAACACCTCAGAATTTGTTTAATTAATTTAGCTATATCCTTATCGATCATCAGATGATCGAACGACATGTCGATGATGACAGTTACTTTACAGGGACTCTCAGCCATTGTACACTTCTTGAGAGCCTTCCTGGAGGGCCCCAGGTCGATGTTATTAGCTCGAGCGAATGCCCGTTTTTCCCTGGTTTTTGCTCGTTCTTTCAATCTGCGAAGAACATTAATCAATTAAAAAACAAGTGGACAATTACATTTTTTTAGTAAATGAGTACAGTTAGTGTTGCGAATGAATTATCAATTTGCTTCCGAATGGGTTCTCTTTTTTAAATTATTATTTCACTATTCTCTTCTTCTATTTTTTCATGTCACAGTACTATTATCAATTGTAATGTCATCAAAATTTTGCGTGTTATTTCGTTCTGTCAAATAATTCTACATTCAGACCCTCTCAAGACTCGAATTCGTTTTCACTCCGGGTTTAATCAAGATTCAATCAAGGTTTAATCAGTGTATAGCCGCGATTTAATCAGGGTTTATTCAGGATTTAGCCAGAGTTTAACCCAGGTTCTGTCAGAAGTTAGTCGGGACCATGAATCAATATGAATAAGTATTCAACATAATAGACTGGTACCTGAGTTTAATAGAGACAGAGATTTTTATATAAAAAGCTCATGACGGTATTGTGTAACTTGATAAGCAATGATGCTGTTCTCACCATTTTTCAACTTGATTAAAAACCCACTGAAATATACTTTTCAAGCCCTGATTTAATTGCTATTACTGATGATTCTTTCAGTAATCATGAAAAAACCGATTTTCTCTTTCAAATCGCATAAACAATGTGCTGTAACTCAACAAAGAATTGTGCGACCCCCATCATATTCTGATAGAATCAAGAGGGTATTGTTATCAATTTTCTGAGCCGGGACTAATTCCATTTTGATAACAATTTTTTGAGTGATAGTCGAAAAATCGATTTTTTGAAAAATATCAACTTTTTCGAATCTGTAGGAAAAATTTAATTTTAATCGGGGTCTATGAACAGAGATTATTAAAGTCTATATTCATGAAAAAATTTATGAAATTCAAAAAATATATTCAGTTACCCTAACACAAAAAACAGAAAACTGAAAGTTCAGCAATTACAATTGTTAAAAAATAGTTTGAAAACTTCCATTCGCAAGCAAAAACAATGAAAAATAATTCTGATCTTTCGCAAAGTAATGACAACGTCTTGCCTCTTCTCTGCCTTCCTCGACAGCCATTTCTCCCTCTTCCTTATCCTTTTTAGCTGTTTTTTGCTCAAATTACTTGCAACACTGTCCAAATTGTCTTTCGGAGACTCAGTATCATTCAGAATTTCCTCTGAATTCTCGTCCTGCAGTTCAACTGTCTTGGATTCCGCATTCCCATCGGCATCTTCCATCGCGTCAACACAATTAAAACACTCAACGTTCACCTCGAACTAAAAATATTATTTAATCACAATAATATCTTCGCGTCAATGTGGATTTTTAGCAACACAAATTGACCAATCAAGGGGATAAACACGAAGACACATGGTTTTGTGTACAAATTACGACCATAACCTCAACTCACTTATGAAGTTACCCTCGAGAGGGCTGACAGTAGCGACAACAAAGGAAATCGCATGCTCGCGCAGTCACTGACGTTTATTTCTTCCCAAAATTGTCAGTTCAAATGATTGTCAATTTAATTTTCCCGGATGAATTTTATTTTGAAACAATTTTCCTTCACTTGGGCTCGTTTTCCCATTCATATTGGGTTTTCTCACGGTATTTTTATCAACCTCGAGATGATTTTTCCAATAAATGTCCTTAATTGAAAAAACGAAAAGAGTTTCTCTTTCTTCTTGTTTTTTCATTTAGTCATTTTCCACTTTGAATCTCAATTTTTTGAATTTTCCCACTGCCGTTGGGTTTGTAACATCAACCAATGACAGCCACCCGCTCCTCCCCCTCAGTTTCTCCCACCAAAATCGAGGTTCCGGTGTTTTCTCACAGAAATGTTTTAATCATTAATCTGTGATTTTCGGGCGGTTCTTTTGCAGTCCGGGGGTTTATTTAATTATTTCGTAAATTGCAGGGGAGACTTTATCACGTTTGACTGTATTTTTCAACGATTTCGGAGATCGTAACAAAGGGAACTCAATCGTCCGCCAATCACAGCCCACCTCGCGCTCCGCGACCGCCAATTTTTCGCCCCCAGCGTCAGTCCGCTTTTGCCTTCGAGGGAGAATGGGTCGTGCGTGTAAGTTCCGCGGATTTTGGCTCACCCGGGGCATTCCGAGGCCCAGGGTGACCGCCAACGGGGGAATCAAGGTGCCGGCAACCCCAGACGAGTGAGTGTAATTAAAAAAACATTATTTTGCGGAATTTGGAATTTTTTTTTCGGGATTTTTTCATTTTCGGAGGATTTCTTCGCGCCAGGCCGGTTTTTTCCCTTCATTGGGTTGTCATCGGTGGTTTAATTAGTAGAGATCATTCTTTTTGGAGTATTTTCCAAGTTTTTCCCGCTATTTTGAGGGTTGGAGATTTTTTTCCCGCGTCCGCCATTTTTTCCCGCCAATAATTTTCTTTGTGACATCTTGAGAAAAATTGATATGATGGATTTTCTGTAGTTATCGACCGGGTTTTCGGATTAATAATTTTTTGTGAAAGATTGCGGAGTTTGAGTGATTTTTTTGTAGAAAAAATTGTTTTTTTTTGGGATCTTTGGATTTTTTTAATGATTAATTCGTGATTTTTACCCGTTCAGGAATTTGTTTAATTATTTCGTGAATGATCCAGGGGGATTTTATCACATTTGATTTTATTTTTCAACTCCTTAGCTCGTAACAAAAGGGAACACGATCGTCCGCCAATCACAGCCCACCTCGCGCTCCGCGACCGCCCATTTTTCGCCCCCAGCGTCAGTCCGCTTTTGCCTTCGAGGGAGAATGGGTCGTGCGTGTAAGTTCCGCGGATTTTGGCTCACCCGGGGCATTCCAAGGCCCAGGGTGACCGCCAACGGGGGAATGAAGGTGCCGGCAATGCCAGACGAGTGAGTGTAATTAAAAAAACATTATTTTGCGGAATTTGGAATTTTTTTTTCGGAATTTTTTCATTTTCGGAGGATTTCTTCGCGCCAGGCCGGTTTTTTCCCTTCATTAGGTTGTCCTCGGTGGTTTAATTAGTAGAGATCATTCTTTTCGGAGTGTTTTCCAAGTTTTTCCCGCTAATTTGAGAGTTGGAGATTTTTTTCCCGCGTCCGCCATTTTTTCCCGCCAATAATTTTCTTGTGACATCTCGAGAAAAATTGATATGACGGATTTTCTGTACTTAACGACCGGTTTTTCGGATTAATAATTTTTTGTGAAAGATTGCGGAGTTTGAGTGATTTTTTTGTAAAAAAAATTGTTTTTTTTTGGATCTTTGGATTTTTTTAATGATTAATTAGTGATTTTTACGCGTTCGGGAATTTGTTTAATTATTTCGTGAATGATCCAGGGGGATTTTATCAAATTTGATTTTGTTTTTCAACTTCTTAGAACTCGTAACAAAGAGAAATCAATCGTCCGCCAATCACAGCCCATCCCGCGCGTCGCGCCCGCCAATTTTTCGCCCCCAGTCGCCATTCGACAGTTGGCTTTGAGGGAAGACGGATCGTGCGTGTCTTCCCAGGAGTTTGGCTCACCCGGGGGGGACTCCGAGGCCCAGGGTGACTGCCAACAGGAGAGCAGAAGGTGCTGGCATCCCCAGACGAGTGAGTGTAATAAAAACAATATATTTTGTGGGCTTGGGAATTTTTTTTTCAGGACTTTCGTACGATTTCTTCCCGCCAAGCCGGCTTTTTTCCATTGATTTGTGTTTCATCAGTGCTTTAATGACTAAAGATCATTTTTTTCGAAGTGTTTTCCAAGTTTTTTCCCACAATTTTGAGAATTGGAGATTTTTTTCCCGCGACCGCCATTTTTTCCCGCCAAGAATTTTCTTTGTTACGTTTCCATAAAAATTGATTACATCGATTTTCTGTAGTTATCGACTGGTTTTTCGGATTCATAATTTTTTAATGAAAATTTGTGGAATTGCAGCGGATTTTTTAGATTTTTTATTTTAAAAAATTGTTATTTTGTATTTTCGGATTTTTTTTGGATCTTTGAATTTTTTTCGGATTTTTTCGTGCCCGACCAGTTTTTTCTATCAATGAGTTAGTTATTAATGTTTTAACGATTGAATTTTTTTTTCAAAATATTTTACAACTTTTTTTTCTCTTAATTTTGCGAATTTTCGTTTTTTTTTTCTCGTCTCAAAAATCGAAATGGTCCCAGATTCAATCACTTTTATATTTTAATTTAACAGTTGTTTCAATAAATTACTCATTCGGAAAATTTGTAAAGTAAACGGCAAGTATTTCTCCATTTTTTTCCGCGTTAAACGTTGATGGGTTGACAACCCCTGGTTTTTCCCCTCGCACGTCTCCTCAGTTCTTTGTTTTCCTACGAGCGTTGATCCCTTGGCGCCAGCGAGTCTGACCGTGAGCAGTAGAGTGGTGTGACGAGGCCGAGTTTGTTTGTAAACAACCTCTGCCTCTGTGCCTCTCGGCTACCTGAGGCGAGTTTTATTCGAAAATAATAGTTTTATGGAGATCGAAGTTTTTTCTCATAATAGTTAATCCCCGTACGGATTTTTCATTGTATTAATAATTTCTTTTTCTCTATGCATTAACTTTATGAACGAGAGATTTACTCATAAGAATTGGGGAATAAGAAGGCGGGATTTTTCTTTAAAAAAAATAGTTGAAAGGTTATTTTATCCATCTTCCAAAAACGGAAGATTTTTTTAGTTTTTTAACCGGTTTTTTAAATTTTTATTCGAAAATAATTATATTCGTGATTTTTTTTTTAATTTTCCTCGGGCAAGTTAATTGACAAATTTGATGATTGGAGATGGTTGAATCTAAGGAAGGGTGGGGTAAAACAGACTTTTTTTAGATTATACATAATTCAGAAACAAATTGATTAATTGAGCTCAGTTTAGGCTCGTCGCAAAGGGAAAGAATTGTTCTTTGTATCGAAAAAAAATTATTAAATTTTATCAACATTTCAACGCCTCATTAACATTTAAAAAAAAAGTCAAAAGTCTCCGTTTTACCCCAATCTCCCCTATATAAAATAAAACTGTAAAAGATTCTGGCATATCCTTAACTCTTGGTTTCTTTATTGTGTTATTTGCAGGAAATAAATAGTGCTGAGTTGTAACATTGTGCAGAGGTGATTGCGGATGGCGGATAATCGGATTGGGCAGCAAAGCAACTTCAGATAATGCAGCAGGTATTAATCATGAATAAATTCTCAATTTTCTCGAATATCTCCAAGATTTCCCTGTATTATGAATTTTGAAGTGACGTATTTGGTCTTTTTATGTTGTTCTCAGGTCAAGGTAAGAGATAAAGATATTTTTATAATGCGGCGAATATCAACACGTGACATTTGCGATGATTCATCTTGGAAATTTCGGAGAAATTGCGGGAAATTCGAAGCGAAAATTCTGTGGAAACCACAGGAACAAACAGCGGAGCGGTATTGTTCATTTTATTTATTTTTATTCAACTATTATTATTTTTTTTTTTTCAATGAAATTTTAAAGTTCATAATTTTTTTGCTATGCGGAAAAAATGCAAGCAAGTGCGAAATTGCTCTTGTATTGCGTATCATATAGTAATTTTTGCTAATAAATTAGCAATATGCTTCCGATTTTTTGCACATAATTTCCTTCTATCACGTATAATTCAGGGTTTATCTCATTTTATTAAACGGAATAAGATTCCTTTGCAACTAATTTTGTCAGATTTTCAACTTAGTTGAATTTTATCATCATCATTATTCTTATTATCCCTTTCTTCTACACAACCGATTGTCTTTTTTACGGTTCCATCTCTCCCCTCAGCCCTTCGATAAAATGTTAATAGAAAAATTTTATTTATACATACTTGATTGAATTTGAAATATCACACTTAAAGAAACCATCAGAAACCTCACTTTCAGGTAAATTAATGACAAATTATAAATTTTTAACAATCATAAAAATCAAATCAACCAATACAGTAGACTCCCGCCGTTAGAGTCACACTCGTTATAGTCGCATTTCCCCTCATATCGATTCTTCGGCCCGCGAGTGCTCCCCCCACTCCATTACCTACGAAAGCCTAAAATGAATTCTCCTGTTTTTCCTGGAGGAGTCATTGTTTTTGAATTCTCGGAAATTCGCAAAATAAAATACTGAAAATATAAATTTACAATGGGTAGACATTTAGTCTGCTCCTGATCGTCACGGAGAGAGGTTACATCAGCACGCCATTTCTCGACCCGCTCTTTCATTTGAGCCCAAAAAAACATTCATATCTTATCTGACATCGCTATTATAAACTCTGGTTTTCAACTCTGGTTTTCAATTAAAAACCAGAGTTTATAGCAGAGATGTCAGACTACATGTGAATGTTTTTTTGGGCTCAAATGAAAGAGCGGGTCGAGAAATGGCGTGCAAATGTCTCTAAGGATGATTTTTTAACCAGGGACGACTCCTACAGCCGACTGGACAATGTTGGCAACTCTGTTTTTCAACTCTGAAACCAGAGTTGTGCCAACTCTTCTAGGAGTCTCCCCTGGTTGGCAGATCACCCTTAAAATCATTTGCACTGCATTTCGACACCCACTCCTGCACTCGGACCCCCATTAGACAAATATGAATATCGTTAAGAAAACGTTCACATAAAATATAAAAAACTATTCATTTCATTTTTTATTTGCGTTAATCTATACTGATATTCGTATTCGAAAAAATTGTTTACTGGTCTACTATCTCCATATCACTTATCAATTGATTCGATGTGTCGAGTTTATTGTCTAGATTTAATTTGAGAAGTAAAAGTTGAGGGTCCACTACCTCTAGAAATGAGATTATTGAAAGAGAATTGCGTATTTCTCGCGAATACAATCGCATTCCCCGAATTCAATTCCCCAACCGCCCCTTGAGTGTGACTCGAACGGGAGTCTACTGCATAGCTATTGTAATCATCTTTTAACTTCGACTTAATGGCATTAAAACAAACATTTTAAGCTATGATTGAATTCATTTGAAGCATGATATCCAAAGATATCCCCGGAATTCTGATTTTCAAAAAGTACAAAATTTTTGAAAATTTTCGAATAAATCAAAATAACGATTATTGCTATCGCCTTCATCATTGAACTTGGTCAAAAGGGCATCCAAACAAATTTTTTAAGGCATCATTCAATCAATTCAGACAATTTTTTTAGTTATCGTGGGAAAATTCGAAAATTAAAAAAAATAATCGATGGATTAAATTTTAATTAATGTCAAAGTGAAAAAAGAATGATTTAATTCCACGGATTCATTAACGAAGAATGGAAGGAAAACTTCGCATTTTCTGACTTTTTGGATCATAATGGGTCAATATAACACAAAAAATCTAAAACTTGAATTTTAATAATTGCAATGCTTCCATTCGATATTAAAAATGGAAAAAAATGTCAGAATCTAAACCTTACCTGCTCTTTCATCATCAAAGGGTTATTAAAATTATTTCAATAATAAATAAAAATGTCGATAGTAATAATAATTGTCTAGATATATTTGACCCTTCGAATTGTTTACAATATACTTTTAATAATTACTCAAGATCTTCTCATTCTACTGGCATACAGTAACAAATATGAACGTACATTATCGAGAAAATGAATGAAAGATAATTTGAGATGTTGTGAAACATCTGAGCAATAACTTTAATTAGAAAAATGAATAAATCATTTAAATTCTTAGGTCTAGTGATTTTCGATAATCTTAAAAGCTACAATAATTTATGATTAATTGGCATATTTACGCTGTAATACTTAATCATTAATGTGATTAGGCAAAAGGAGAATCTGTTGCATTATATACATAATTTTTCTATGGGCATTAAAATTAAGGCACTTTTTCATCGATTATCTGTACAATGAATCTACAATATGCAATTGATCGCTTATCATTTGTCATATTTTCATTCACAAGTTTAAATTTTCTTTTATTTTACGAACATCTGAAAAATTTGATATTTTTTCTATTTGCAAGTGTGAAAAAAATCCAGAAGAGATAATTCCATTTGTCTTCCTTTTATTTTCAGAGGGAATTTTTAAAAATACAACTTAAGCACCAAAAATCATTTGCACTGCAAATGAGATGATTGTGGGATGACTTTCTGTAGCAGCTTTCCAAATTTTTTTCATAAAATTTTATCAGTTTAAATTGAAGGGAAAATCAAAATAATTTCCCACCAAATGCTCTGCACTTGTCTCCAGGATTTTTTCACACTTGTGGCAATTACTTTCAACTGATTTTTTTATACAAAAAAAAAATAGCAGATAACAGAGATAGTTATGAACCCTTAAAAAAATCAACAAGTACTCCGCGTTCTCCTGTAAGCATGTTTAATCTAGTGTGATTGTACTGTCGTGTATCTACGCCTACAATTATCCATAACATAAGTAGCGTATCTAGCTCTCTTATTCAGTGGTGGGCGCTGCCTTTCAGTGATGCTACTCATTAATACAATAATTCAGTGCCATAATTCGTAATTAAAAGTATCAACGGCACTGAGATAGTTCGTGTTGTGCCACTCTTTTGATCGTTCGATAACATCGATAATTAATTTTCTATAATTGAGAGTTAAGTTATCATTGACACGATTGACATTCCACGTGCGAAAAAATTTCATAGAAAATCCTTACGAATTAGAAAGATTTTTTATACTATTTATTATGTTATTTATTATTATATGCAAGTTTTGCAAGTTTTTTTTGCTTGATTTCTCTAATAATTAGGTGAGGAAAATAGGGCGGAAAAAAATGTTGAAAATGTTGGAGAATTCCTGCAGAAAATGTCTCAATAGAAAGATCAATTTATCCTTAATTTTCAATAGAAATTCAACAGAATTTTCTGTGAAGTTATTTTCGTGCGTGTCAAAGGCGATAGTTTCATCAAATAATATCTTGACTCAAAATGATTTCTCTTCGATGACAAGCTCTTGAAATTGACACATAAAACCCTAAAAAATGGTAGCACTCAAATAATTATTGACAAAAAAGCACTTCACTTCGTTTTAAATAATTCAAACGAAACATTAATAAATAAGAGAATAATAATCACTGTAATTACTACAGATAAATGATTATCGTTTTGCTGCAATGATTTTGCAATTTGAATAAACGATTGAGAACAATGAAAAATTACAATACAAAAGCTAAAGTCAAAACGACTCGATGAGTGCATTTAGTTGGTAAAAAAATATGAAATGTTTGAAACATAATAAACTGTTTATAGTATACTGGCAGTATTTTAAGTAATTGAATTTAATAAGTGAAAATACCATTCATTAATTTCGCCCTGGCATAAAAAACAATTGTCATATATTTTGTTCTTTCGTTATTTTTTGTGATTTTGTTTCTTTCTCGGATTCAGAATATTTTTTGCCAGGGCGAATAAGATAAATCTGGTAATATTAAGTTTAAAAAAGCAGATTTAACTGAAATGCAAATGTTCGTTTTGAAAGTAATTGAAAGAAACAAGATGCAGTGATGAATTATTTAAGTTGATATTGAAAAATATTTTTTTATGCTACTAGTCCAGCATCCTTAGCCATACTGTAGAATGCACTGGTGGGTTTTTGAAGGAGTGAATGGGGTGATTCAAATTCGATCATGTATCCTTTGTCAAGGACAATAACCCTGAAAGAAAAAAGTAAATTAGTAAATTTTCACTAATTTTTTAATTACATTTTTGAAACTATTGCAACATTTTCTAATTTTATTCTTAGAAAATTATCAATTTTATGAATGGAATTACAGGAACCAATTAGTTTTGGATATAATTTAGTAATTCAGTAGCGAAGGGGTAAAACGGTTGAAGAAGATTTGACTATTGGTCAGTTTTCAATAAATATCTCGAAATCTAAAGCAGATATCGAAATTTTTGTTATAACCTTTTTTGTAGAGCGAATTGAGACCCAAAAAGTCAGCTGAGAGCTGATATATGAACGATAATTACGAAAATAATAATGAACGTTACACGTACCTGTCAGAATCGAGGATTGTGTTCAATCTATGCGCAATAGTGAGCACAGTACTATCTTTGAATTCTTCCCTAATTGTTCGTTGAATGAGATCGTCAGTTTCAAGATCAACAGCCGCAGTGGCTTCATCCAATATGAGAATTTTCGTCTTTCGGAGAAGTGCCCTGGCTAAGCAAATTAACTGCCTCTGACCGACACTTAAATTGTCACCACCTTCTGATACTGCATGGGATAGACCATTTGGTAGACCTGATAACGAAAAATATTCATTTTACATTAATAAAAATAATATTCCATTGACATCTTAAACATCCAAAAAAAAAAAACAGCAATCACGTACGAAAGAATTTCTTAAATAGTTCTGTAGAATTTCTATTGAATAATTGGGAAGCTATATTGAGAATTTTTCAAATAGAAACTTTTACAGAAAAAATGAGCAGAATTTCATCTTTTCACACAACTTTTTCTATTTAATCATCTACAAGAATTCCTTGATATGAATTCTCTATATTTTTCCATTCTATCATGTTATTTTCCATTTTTAATTAAATTCGTTACCAAAAAAAAATCATTCTATTTAAAAAAACAATTTTGTTCGAAAGCTAACAGAAAGTTTAGCAGAAATCCAATAGAATTTCCTACAGAATTCACTAGAAGTTTCTGTTCAATATTTTCCCACGTGATAACACAACGAATAAATCCCCAAACCCTCACTTTGCACAAAAGTCTTGAGATGGGCGTGCTCCAGCGCCCTCCAGACCTCCTCATCCCCATGTCGATTGAAGGGATCGAGATTGAGCCTGAGACTCCCAGAGAAGAGAACGGGATCCTGAGGGATGATCGTGAGCCTCGACCTCAGTGCGTGCAGCCCCAGTGTGGCAATATCGATGTCATCGATGATGATCTTCCCCTCAGCAGCCTCAATAATCCTGAAGAGTGCCAGAGTCAGTGAGGACTTGCCAGCACCAGTCCTTCCGACGATTCCAATCTTCTCTCCGCCGTCAACAGTGAAGGATATTCCCTTGAGAACGAGGTCCAGACCTTCCCTGTAACGAACCTTGAAGTCCCTGAATTCAACTCGACCCTCTGAGGGCCACTCCTTGGGGGGAGTTTTGTCTGTAATCTCCCAGGGCGCCTCCTGGGGCGTCTCGCTGTACTCCTTTATCCTCTCCACAGCTACGATATTCGTCTCGACGTCTGAGGTCATTCTCACGAGCCAGTTGAGGGTCTGGGTGATCTGCAGGGCGTAACTCACGGAGAGACCCACGAGACCGGCGCTCAGTGTGTCTCGTCCCAGCACCGCGAACAGGGCGGAGAAGAAGATTATCAGATTGCCGACCATTTCCAAACGCACAGCCAACCACCTTTTGTGGAAAACGATTGTTATTTTTTTAAATTTGTGATTGGGGTTTTATGAGGGTAATTGGCGATTTTCGCGGGCGAATGGAAGCTGCGTAATCGTTTCATTTAATTTCGGTGTTTTTAAGGCATTAATTACGGGGGATATTAGGTCGAAAGAAATCATTAAATAATCAATGCGAAAATTTTAAAAATCGGAGGCACACGGACTCAAATCCCAGTGAGGTGTGATCCCACGTCCTCTGTCTACCGGACAGATGCTATTCTTTTTTTTTTTTATTTTTATTCATGAGCTGATAGAGATTCTTTGGATGAAGGCGTCAAAGAAACAACTAAAAGAATACACCAAAGTCTAGTCAATAGAGAAATTGAATATACCGGTCGTTGAAATATCTTGCGTTCAAATTCAAGTTATCGATTTTTCGCGTTATGCTGCAATTGGACCGGTTCACGTACGAAACAAATTTCATAGATAAACCAAATGAATTCGAATGAATACTCATTGACTTACCTATTCGCAATGATACTTGGATAATAGCAGACTTGATTGAAGTCAACTCTGTTCTCTGATTCACGAATGAATCTGTCTTGAACTCCATAAGCTCTGATTGTTGGGGCGCCTAAACATGGTTTACAATTAGCAATTGAAAATTTGACAAATATTCATATCGTCACGATGGTCCATACCAGTAACAGATTCACCAAAGTGTGAATAAATCGGTGATCTCGAGACAGACTCCAGTCGTTTCAGCTGTCTCGACGTTGCAACGTAAAACCGTTGTATAAAATAGTAGACAACTCCAATAGGTATGATAATTGATACAAAGGCAGGTGTGCTGATGCTTATTACTACGAGTGTAGCAATTACCTGTAATATCAGAACATTAACAAATGTCTCCCACGATGTATGAAAAAATTTGATAGAAAATAAGCGCATTCTTTGAGAAATTCTATTGAGTTTTGGCTGAAAGTCTATAAGAGTTCAATTAAAAAATTTTGATCTCTCTCTATAACATAAAAATTGAAATCGACTTCTGGTGATAAAAATTTGGTACTCAAGATTAAGACTCCGAAATTAAGGGCCAGAATAAGGGCTATGAGGGCCAGAATAAGGATTATAAGGGTCAAAATAAGGGCCGTAAGGGTCAGAAAAGGGTCACGAAGATCAGTTTAAGAATCAAAAAAGGATCCAAACCTCCAAATGAGGTTCACAAGGGTCAGATTCAGGGTACAAATAAGGGTCACAAGGATCAAAATAAGGGTCTCAATATTCCTCTACATTGTATAAATCCAAATCAACTTTTGGTGACGAAAATTTGGTGCTCAAAATTAAGAATCCGAAATCAAGGGTCAAAATAAAGGTCAGGAGGGGTATAATGAGGGTCACGAGGGTCAGATGAAAAGGTTCACAAGGGTCAGACTAAGGATCATGGGGGTTGTCGAACAGAACGAGCAGGGGACGTAGCCTCCTAATTTTTAATAGAAACTCTAACGTAGTTCCAACGAGAACTCAATAGAATTTCTTCGATAAAACGCTGGAATTTTTTCTAAAATTTTTCGTACACGGCCCTTCATATCCAAGAACCCTCACAAAAATATCGTGCATAATCGGGGGAAGATCCAAACAAATACAGCAGACTTTCGTCATAACGAACAAAAAATTCACACATAATTTCATATACGAGATTCATGCAGTGAGAAAGGGTAAATGAAATAATTGAACAGAAAATAATAAGCATAAACTTACGACATACACAACACATGGGCCCACCAACAGTTAAAATGTTCTTAAATAAATGAAAAATAAACGAACGAATAAACACAAAAGAACGAAACTAGACACAGAACAACTGAAAGTTAATTATTAACACTTGATGAATAATTAAATAAAGCTGATAAGCGCAAGCTTCGTATCTTACAGGTACTTTCCCACCATAGATCAATGATTGAGTAGTTAATAATGAAATTTGACGGATACGATTATACAGGCTCTAATCTCGTAATATTCAAGTTTCGTCCAAGTGTAATCAGGCAGTAACTGGTGCTTTAATAGATTTAATAAATAAACCTGAAGAGGTGGAACTGGAATGGAATAATAATTCTGGGGGGAGGCAGATAATAATTGTTTTTTTTTCGTAAAATGTTGGTTTTGATCCATATAATTACGTATGAAGGAATTTAAGAGGCCCCAGAAGGGAAAGAAAATACTGAAACGCGGGGAAAACTTTGCGCCATGAAGTCTTAGCTGGGAGGGCATGAAAAAATGGGAAAGCCGGCTTAAAATATTTGTTCACTTTTATAGAAACCGGGAGGAGCCATTTCAAAGGTCTTTAAAGAGGTGAAATAATTTTAATCGATGTTTAAAGATGCGAGGTGGGCGCGCCGCCATCTTAGAAGCCCCTCGGGGCAGGGGGAGGGGTATAACGCAAGATGGCGGCGTCCACAGCTGTCCATCACCTCGGATTTTTAAACTTTTATCAAAATTATTTGTTCTTCTCAAATCAACTTTAACTTGTTTAATAAAGTTCCTGGAGAATGAACAAATTTTTTAAGCTATCCTTCAAATTTTTTTCATTCCCTTTACACTTCAGTATTTTTTTTTATTCCCGAGGTGTCTTAATGATTCTAATCGGTTCTGGGATTTTTTCGTCGATTTCTTGTGAATGTGATGAATATTGCTGATATCTTTGAGAATCATTTCGACATTGTTTTTTCTATTTGCAAAGAAATAGGGGAAAAATAACAGAGAATTTGGAATAGAATTTTGAAATAAATGCTTTTTTTTTCATACGGGATTGGAGTAGTTGCCAAATGATTACCTCAAAGAGACAATAGATGCAATCAGAAATTTGTTGGGGGAGTGATGTATCCAGCACGTCGACGTCTTTAGCGAATCTGGAGATTATTCGACCTGTGGGTGTTGTATCAAAGAAGGTCAGTGATGCACGCATCACCCCGCTAAGCATGACCAAGTGCATCTGGCGCGCGGCCAGCCAGCAGCCCAACTGTGGTGCCAAATCGCAGAAAAAACTCGTCACCGCTACAACAATTAGAGACGAGCGGGGATCATTTGATAACCGCCAGTACCGGTGTTAGGTGGGAGTTTTTTTTTTAATTCATGGTTTTTTATTGCGATTTTACTGGATCCGTGGGAATTTAGGCAGCTTTTGGAGGGGCTCTGCACATTTACAAGTGTCAATTTACAGAAGTGACAGGTGCACTCTCTTTGCGTGATTCAGCGCTCGGGATGAGTCGGCGAAAGTGAATGAGTTTATTTTCATTAATTAAATAAAAGTGCATATTGAGAGTTGTTCTGGGTGAGGGAATTCTCTACGAGAAATGCGCATTGACATTCTTCGCATGGATTTCCTCATTATTGATATTTAATCCCCAACTTTTCAATTCAGTAGCCAAGCGGTAAAACTAAGTCGTCTTAGCTGAGTTTTCGAAGGCTATCTGCGAATCTAACGGAGATAGATAAATTTTTGTTATAACCTTTTTTGCAGATCTTAATCCGCCCTACAAAAAAGGTTATGACAAAAATTTCGCTATCTGCCTTAGATCATGAGATATTCAATGAAAACTGATCAAAAATTCTATTAGTTCGCAAAAACTTTTTTATTATCTCATTTTTTAATTTATTTACAAGGCTTGATGACCATTTATTCACTGAACTAAATATCAAAATCAGTTTTTGAATAATGAATTAAAAATCGAAGGATAATGAAAATTGCGTGAGCACCTCCCTTTCTTCAAATGAAAATAAAAACATAAGCAACAACATTTAGCTTCCTCTCTCGAATTCCACGAAGGGACTCATCCCACTTCACTCACTCTCCCATCATCATCCATTCCTCACGATGATCAAGAGGTGATCAAAGCTGTGAAAATTTCCAAGCCAAATCGCATCATATTAGCATCTCCATCAACACATCAATACATCTCTTAAGCTTTTCAAGATCCTTCCGATCGTATTTGCCACTTGAATAGTTATCCTCCTCAAGTCTCCAACAGGCTTTGTACAACGCTAGGCGAGGGGTGAAGTTTGCTGTGGCATGCGTCAAATGTATGCAAAGGAATGATCATAGCTTGCAAAAATTGATACGTAAAACCTAAAAAAAAAAATAATGCCTATTCAGATGAGTGCATTTTTGAAAATTTTCCACTGAAAATTCCGATACACTTACTGAAAATTTTGATCACATTAGAGTTCCACTGAGATTTCAAGGAATTTCGTCATTGAAAATTCACAATTTGGTGAAAAAGTCAATGGAAATGATGAATTCAGCAGCAAAACGGTTCAAGTCGATCTGCCTTAGCTGAGTTTTCTAGGAATATCTCCGAATCTGATGGAAATAACGAAATCTTCGTAATGACCTTTTTTGTGGCCCTCAATTCGCTCTACAAAAAAGGTCTAGACAAAAATTTTGCTACCTCCCCTAGATTTCGAGATATTCACTAAAACCTGACCAATAGTCAAAATCGACTTGTAATAATTTCGGAGAAATGTATAAAAATGATGAGAATTCAGATAAATTTTGCGTAAGTTAGTATCGAAAATTTGGGGTTCGACTGATAAGTCAAGTAATTTAGAAAACTCTCGTCTTCCTGCCGCTCAGATCACAATTCCATTGAATTTGTCAATGAAATCTGAAATTCCAATTGTTTTCTAACAGTGTTGTGTAGTGAACCTATGAAAATGATGAAACCTATAAATTAATCATGTATAATAGTCTCCGTCAAATCGAGCGATATCTCCGCCCAATAAACTGAATAATCATCAATCTATGAATGTACATATTTACATGCATAACTGGTCATTAAACCATGCAAATAATATCATTAAACTCACACAGATGTTGACCACGTGTGCAAATACTCAACCCAAATGATACCAAAGACTCAACAAAAGGGTAAACCAAGTAAAAATTAAAGAAATATAACAAGATTAAATAAGTAATAGGAGAACATGTCATGATGACGCGTAATGAAATGAATGAATAGTAGCTTACCCTACAACAACAGGGTAGCCACTGTACAAGCGACATAGGTAGTCTCGAATCCGTGATGTCTACATCAGCACTGAAACGGCTCAATATACGACCAGTGGGCACTGTATCGAAGAATGACATGGGGCCGCGCAATACATTCTGCAAAGCGTCACGCAGCAATGCAGCGGATGATCTCAGAGAACCAATGTTTACCGACAGCGCGGCCAAAAACACACTTATGACTGTAACACAATACTAGCTTCGTCAGAGAAATCATGGGAATCATTGAATTCGTGGTCATGGGTGGAATTTCACTGCTGACAAATTTTTTTTCTCGAAATTCCTTGACATTTCAAGGAATTTCGGCATTGAAAATGCAGAAAAATAAGCGGAAATTGTAGATTTCAGAGAAAATTTGGGGCTTGAATTTTGTTCCTTGAATTCTTAGCCAAAAAGGGACGAAAATATGTGGAGAATAGCTTGAAAAATTTGTTCATTTCCCAGAAACTGGATGGATCGAGTTGAAGGCGATATGAAGAGAATAAATAATTTTGAGAAATGTTCAAAAATACGAGGTGGATGACAGGCGTGAGCGCCGCCATCTTGAAAGGGATTCTAAGATGGCGGCTAAGATGGCGCCGCCATCTTGAAGGGGATTCTAAGGTGGCGGCCCCTTTACCTCGCATCTTTAAACATTTCTCAAAATTATTTATCCTCTTCAAATGATCCTCAACTTGCTCCATCCGGTTTTTACAAAATGAACAAATTTTTTAAGCCATTCAGATTTTTCCATCCCCTTTCGGCTGAGAATTCACGGCGCAAAGTTCTCTTCGCATTTTAATTATTTTTAACTAAACGACTTTATTTTGTCGTCCGTGAAATCTAGAATTTCACGATTTTTTCCCACGAAATTTCAATTTTTTTCCATCAGCGTACAATCGAAAACCATCGAAAAACTTTCGAAAGAAATTCGATAATTTCTCCTGTCATTCCCCCAGTCCACTACTGATTCATTAAACATGAATGATATCTCAGCAATAACGACAACTCGTGACAAAAAAAAATATTGGAATGCTCATAACGTCTCAGGAAGCAATGCATCATAAGCCATCGTACGAAAACGATAACAGACTCGTCATACCATTTCCTCCAATCAACCAATGGACAATGTGAACGAAAGACGAATTCATTGACAAATTTTGCTGTCTCGATTCGCTAAAATGAAGACAATGACGAGATAATGAATTTTAAATTAACAAAAAAAAAAACACAAAACAAATGGTGAATCGTACCGAATACAGACACGTGATCAAAGTACGGAGTATCATTGGTAAGACGTTATCAACGACATCGATCTCTTTACCACAACGATTCAACACACGACCAGTTGGTGTTTGATCGAAAAACGACATTGGACCTCGAAGTATATTCGTTAAAAGAGCGTCAAATATCATCACGGATGCTTTAACAGCTCCCAGTGCCAACATAAGTGATACTAAAAGGGTTGTGATACCTAGAAATAAATAATCGTACCATAACAGTAATTATTATGACAGTTATTGGGAGAACATCTGTTGAACAGAAATTTTAAAAACATTAACGCAAGTTAAACATGCCGATCCGAGAGGTTGATTATGGATGATGACAGTGTTGATAGGGGAGATGATGCTTGTGTTTTACTCTGTATTATGAGGTACATGAAGTGGTGGTAACGTAATAAATTTGGATATTAGGTACGAAGGAAATTTATAGAAAATTCTCTTGTACTTTCTATTAGTTCTTAGTCAATTCCATTATCAAATTTTGTAGCTTGTGGGCGCGGTTTTTAGGTAGAAATGTTCAAGGAAAATATTCGACAGAAGAAATCAATAGAAAATTCCTGGGCTCAAATTTTTTGAGTTTTTTTTGGTTGATTCTTTTAAAGAAAAGAGAAAAGTTGAGTGGAAAAAACATGGAAAATTCATGTCGATAAAATTCTATCGACATGATAGAATTTTATCGACATGAATAGATTATTTATTGAACGGAATTCTTCAATAGAATTCCGATTCTATAGATTTCTATAGATTTTATAGATTCCGATTTGATAGATTATTTATTGAACGAAATTCTTCAATAGAATCGTCATAAAAATAATAGAAGTTTTTTTTTTTTTCTGTTGAATTTTTTCGTGCAAGATTATGAATAATGAATGATTTCAAGGCGAAATGTTGAAAAATCTTTTTCAGATGTCAAGAGATTTCTTTTACATTCAACAAAATTCCCACCAAAAAAATTCATTTTGCATTACGTTTCACCACTTCACAACTAAATCTCTATCAAAACCGTGTCATCATCAATAATGAACACGAGATAATCCAGAGTATTAATTACAAATGTGAAAATTAATGTGTAAATCCAATGCATGGTCCATAGAACAGAATAATGAGAGTCACAAAAGTGCTGGAAATAAGAAAATCGTGGATAATCCGTAAATAAATAACTGATAACAGAAGATAGCATGCTCACTGGCGTGCACAGGGGCGTGGAGTTGTATTAATATCAACTATTCGTGATGTGATACTATCCTGAAGAATATTCGTACTCATTGGTGGACCCACATGGTACGCTAACTAAAATAATGTAAAAACAAAAATCTCGATCACTAGTGATCTCATCTAAAACCAAAAAAACTAGCACGTACCCCGGCTAGACACATTAACCATGCTCTAAGGATGTGTGGTAAAACATTGTCGATAACATCGACATCCTTTCCAACACGATTTAATATTCTTCCAAGGGGTGTGGTATCAAAGAATCCAATTGGTGTACGCAGTAAACCGAATAATATAAGAGCATGCAGCATTTTGCTGCTTCGCAGACAACCGATGGCCATTGTCAGCTGTGCAAGTAGTACAAATATCGCTGCAAATTAATTCAATATTTAATTGGATTGAGTGGCAGTATTGAATACTGATTGATCTTTCGTTTTTTAGATTTATTGGTTTTATGTTGTTGATTTTTCTCTCCATAAATTTTCGGAATTTTCGTAAATTTCCGAGTATTTGTTTTTCACGTTTGAAATTTGTTTGTAGAATTCAATTTTTTATGCAATTTATTCTACTGAGATATTTTCTGTAGAAATTCATCAACTCAAATTTTTTTGTTTTCATTCTTCAATGAAAAGAGAAGAAAAATAGAGAAATATAAAAAAAGAGTGGAAGAAAATTTGGAAAATTCTCATAGAAAATGTCAGAATAGAAAATGTGAGGAAACATGAAATTTTATATTGTTGATTTTTCTCTCCATAAATTTTCGGAAATTTCCGAGTATTTCTTTTTTCACGTTCGAAATTTTTTAGTAAAATTCAATTTTTTTATACAACTTATTCTATTGAGATATCTTCTGTAGAAATTCCTCAACTCAAATTTTTGTTTTGTTTTCATTCTTCTATAAAAAGAGAAGAAAAATGAAGAAAAATAGAGAAATAAAAAAATAGAATAGAAGAAAATTTCGAAAATTCTCATAGAAAATGTCAGAATAGAAAAAATTGCACAGAAACATGAAATTCTACTGATTTTTTCTATAAAGTAGTTTTCATTGGACATTTTCTATTAAAAAAAAACACAATAAGACTGGAATTCTCCACTAGAATCGGCCAAAAACTAATAGAATTTTCTATCGAATTCCCTAGGGTTTTCTCTGAAATTTGGTTGTTCTCGTTTTTTTATGGAAGAAGAAATACTGAAAGAAGTCTGGAATTTTCCGGAATCGTTCACTCCCGAAAAAATTTCAATTTTGAAATTAGAACTAACTGTTTCTTTCAGTGCACAGAGAATTTAGGAATTTCCTAGAACCCAGATTTTCATTAAGAATGTAGAATTCACGTGTTCCTCTCCCCGTGGCTCAGTGTTATCTAATCGATTAAGCAAACAATTCATGCATAATCCGACATAATCTCTCAACTGGGCGCACTATCACCCTAAAATTAAAAATACAGCTGTCCATGAATTATCAATAATAACGTGGATGGACTAAAGAACATGCCTGTGGATTTACAGTCAAATTTGGTTCAGGGTAATCAACCAAAATCACAAGAAATAATCATCAAACGCGTTATATGAAGACACAGCAAACTACACTCGCTGTTCTAGCACGTGTTTACACCACGTAAACCTAATATCCTGACATTAATCTCCACTCGGAGATTGAGGCATGAAGCCCACAATTAATTGTTATTAATTACTTGTGAGATCGTGCTTCCTGTAACGTCTTGTACGACGATAAGGTGGAGTACAATGAGCTGAGAAAATTAAATTGAGGGAAGGGGGGAAGTAAATAATTGAACTTACCTTGTCCCAGACCCAGTGCACCGTATACACCGACGTACATGGCTCGTTTTGATGTGTCCTGGGTGCCATTTACTATTATTGAATCATCGTCGGACCATTTGCTAATCCATATGTTGGAGCCAATGCTGAATGATTGGAAGACTGCGTTCATTATTATCGTGGATATTGATAAGAACCAACCGATGGATTTTAGGTAGTGGGCGTACACTCTTAATTTTACCTGAAACATTTCAATTGGATTTGGCATTAGTTTGGTTGGGGGGAGGACACATGAAATGGATATAGTTTTTTTATTAATTTTTTTTTTCATTGTTTAAATCATGGAGTGCATAGTTTTAATTCCAGAAATATAATTGGGAAGAATTTTGTGGAGAATCGAGAGAAAATTTATTCAGCAATTAGTGAGAAAATTTAATAGGAAAATTGTTTAGGAAATTTATTAGAATTCTATTATTATATTGATTAATTTCATTGTTTTGATTAATTTAATTATATTGACTTTTTTCATTGTTTAAATGATTGAGTGGATACTTTTTAATTCGAAAAATATAATTGGAAAGAATTTTGTGGAGAACAGAGAAATTTTATTCAGCAATTGACGTGTGAGAATTAAATAGAAAAATTGTTTTGGAAATTTATGAGAATTCTATTATTATATTAATTAATCTCATTGTTTAAATGATGGAGTGCATATTTTTTAATTCCAAAAATATAATTGGGAAGGACTTTGGAATTGTTTAGAATAGAGGGAAAATTGTATTAGAAATTCATTGGAATTCTATTGAAAGTTCTATGAAAACCCCTATTTGTGTCAAGTATGTGATTTTCAGCGACTATTTTGGGATAAAAGTAAATAATGTAATGATGAAAAATTTTAAAAATTCATACCCAGGGATTTTACAAAAAAAAAACTTGAAAAATTGAAAAATCAAAATCTTTTAAAATTTGTTGATCATAAATATCTATAAAAAATTCGCACTGCAATGTAAAAAAAATTAATAGAAAAATTCCATTGAAGATCCCTGAAACCCCAAATACTCACACTTCCAGTTTCTGTTTTCTCAGTTTCAATAATCTTCTCCCCAGCCTTAGCTTCAATAGATTTATTCTCCTTGAAACTAGTGATCTTGGCGAGAGAGCCAGACCTCTGACTCTCAGTCGAATGTTGTCTGAAATAAAAAGAATTTTCATAGTTGAAAAGGCTCGTTCTAGCTTCTTTATGAGACTCACCGTGGCAGGGATCCATTTAAGGATCGCTGATCAGCTGAACCCGAGTCACTGTGAGTCACTGATGATTTCGAACGTGACCTAGTCAATTTTTGTTTCAATTCCTCCGAACCAATGGTCGATTCCAATTGCTGTTTGATCTCTGTTAAGTCTGTCTCCTCGTCGTCTTCTGCTCTCACTGTTAATGGGTGTAACGCATGTTAATTGGGTTCAGGGGAATGATATCCAATCAATCAATCAATCAATGAAAACAAAGAGGCATAACAATTGCGGAAGAATGAAAATTAGAGGATGGAACTTTAGCTCTATTGGAACACCATGCCATTAAAAAAATATCTTAAACAAATTGTTAAGCCCTCAGGTTAATGCAGAGTTATTTCAAAACTAAAGAGATATTTTCATCAACTTACAATGTCCAACTTGACCCCGTACATAAAAATAAAAATGAGTGAGTTTATGGAGTAGAGCAAGAGAACAGAATGTAGAACTGAAGTTCAGGAGGAATAAAATAGAAAATGGAGGAGAATAGATATTCTTAAAGTATATAAATATCAATGGAAAATATTCTATAGAAAAAGTTAGTGGAAGTGAATTTTTCTATTCAACTTATTGACATTTTATTTTGAAATTCCTTGGCTCAAATTTTTCATTTTTTTTGTTCAATTTTTTAGTGAAAAGTCAACGGAAATGGAGTGGAAAAAAATTGAAAATTCATGTTGAGGAATTTCTATAGAAAATGTCGCAATTGAAAATTTCTATGAAAACATGAAATTTTATGAATGAAAATGTATGAGTATCAGTGGAAAATATTCTATTGAAAAAATTAGTGAAAGTGAATTTTTCTATTCAACTTATTCTATTGACATTTTATTTTGAAATTCCTTGGGTCAAATTTTCCAGTTATTTGTTTAATTTTTTTAGTGAAAAGTCAACAGAAGTAGAGTGGAAAAGAATTCGAAAATACATGTGGAGGAATTTCCACAGAAAATTTGGATGAAAATATGAAATTTTACTGATTTTTTTTCTATAGAATCCATTCCATTGCACATTCTCCACAAAAAATGACTAATTCTATTGAAAAATTTTCTACAGAAATTCCTCGACATGAGTTTTCGAAACAAATAATGTTCCGGAAAATGAAAATGTCTCAGAAAATTCGTATGAAAACATGAAATTTTACTGATTCTTTTCTATAAAATACTTTCCATTGAACATCTTCCACAAAAATTCTCAAAATTTTCTATTAAATAAACTCTGAGATTGCGGAATTTTTAAACAGACTCTCCCAACATGATAAAATTGAGAATAAAATTTCAACAGAAATCCAATATATCAATTTATCAAATCCCCCAGGATTACTCCCAACCTCCCCACGGCCACACGAAGCCCCAGCCCCTACCTTCTTGCAAATGTTGTATCAAAAAATCGGCAAACGCGCCCTTTTTCTCCAGCAGTTGTTTGTAAGTCCCAGTCTCAGTGATCTCCCCGTCCTTAAGTACCACAATATTGTCCACATCCGGTAAGTACGTGATTCCATGAGTGACTAGCACCCTTGTCTTCTTCTTCAACAGTCCACTGGGTCCAATGACATTCTCAAATATGTGTTTCCCCACGTGTGAGTCGACTGCACTCAACGGATCATCCAGGAAGTAGACGTCACTGTCACTGTAGACAGCACGAGCGAGGGCGACCCTCTGCTTCTGCCCACCAGAGAGGTTGATCCCCTTCTCTCCAATCTCAGTTTGATCGCCAGCTGGCAGCATCTGGAGGTCCAGGAGAAGAGCGCAGGCCTCAATCACTTTGTTGTAGAGGACCTTGTCCAAGGGTCTGCCGAAGAGAATGTTGTCCTGCATCGTTGCGTTCTGAATCCAGGCCTGTTGGGATACGTAGGCAATGGAGCCCTGAGTGTTGACCCTCCCACTCAACCGATACATCTCCCCGAAGAAGGCGGAGACCAGGGAACTCTTCCCCGAGCCGACAGTCCCCACGATCGCTACTAGCTGTCCGTGCTTCACTGAGACATTGATATTCCTCAGGGTGGGCTTCTCGGTGGAGTCAGCTGAGTCCCACGTGAAATTACCGTTCTCGATTATCAGGGGATCAACCTGGGGGAGTTTGAATGATAATTTAATTGCGTGGGAGAGAATTATGGAGATTTTTAAATGAAGAATTCAGGGGAACAAAATGAAAATGGAAAATGAATCGAAAATTTCGTAGGAAATTCTATTGGTTTTTTGGCAATTCTATTGAAGAATTGAACTGTCTTGCTGCATTTTTTATGACGGAAAAAATCAGTACAATTCAATGGAGAAATTTAGGGGAACAAACTGAAGATGGAAAACGAATCGAAAATTTCGTAGGAAATTTTAATGGGTTTTTGTCGGTTCTATTGAAGAAATGGACTGTTTCACTATATTTTTTTTCATACAAAATGTCCAGTAGAATTTCATCTGTCTATACAACTTTATTTATAGAAATTTCTCGGCATAATTTTCTCGTTCTATTTTTCTCTTCTTTTCAGATGAAGAAAAATTAAGGAAAAAAATTAGAACAATTGAGCCACGGAATTTCCATAGAAAATTCTATTGGGTTTTTGTTGATTCTATTGAACAATTGGATTGTTTTACTCCGTTTTTTTATAGAAAATGTCCAGTAGAAATTATTTTACAGAAAAAATCAGTAGAATTTCATCTGTCTGTATAACTTTTTCTACAGAAATTCCTCGACATAAATTTTCTCAATTTTCCATTCTATTCTCTCTTATAAGAAAAAAATCAAACAAAAAAAATTAGAAAAATTGAGCCGAGGAATTTCTACAGAAAACATCTGAATAGAATATGTTGTACAGAACAATTTTCTATTGATATTTTCTACAGAATACATTGATCCCTTCAATTGAAAAAAAAAAAACTCTTCAAAAAAATTCATGAAATACCTCCGACTGATCATGCTGCACATTATTGGGATCCAGCTCTTCATTATTCATGAATATATTGATTCTCTTCATTGAGACTGACGCCTGCACGACATTGCTGATCATCATGGGAAGCATTGACAAGGGGAACCTGAGTATATTAAAGAGGCTGAGGGACACGAAGGCCTTGCTGCTGTCCAGGGCATGCTGCTCGTCGACGTAGACATAAGTAGTAAATGACACTAAAGAAACGAGAAACGGTGCGCAGGACCAGATGAAGCTGGTGCCTGCATTGAGGTAGGCAGCCTCCTTGAGTACCTTGATCTCCTTGTTCCTGATGCCGAGGATCTGCTGCTCGAAGGAGGGCTCCCAAGCGTACAATTTAAGTACTTTAATTCCATTAAGTACTTCGTTCATTAGTTTAACTCTCTCGTCTTTGCTCTTCATCTGTCTTATCTGGAGGGTTTTGACTTTGGAGGCGATCAGAGCGTTGACAGGAATGAGGATGATCATGACAGCTAGACCAGCGAAGACTGAGGGCCCCAGAATGCCCCAGAGGAAGTACAAGGCCAGTGCTATTTGCAGTGGAGCCGACCAGATCATGTTGATGTAGGCGGTGAGGTCCATGAATCTCTGAGCGTCCACTGACATCAGATTGACAATTTCACCGACTGTCGACTCCTTTCGAGCGGAATTGGACATTCTCAGGGCCTTTCGGTAGATGGCGGCTATCAGGGCTGTGCGGATTCTCAGGCCCACTATGAACATTCGGTTGAAGTACTGGGAGAGGACTAGGGTTTGGAGGACAGCTGTGAGGAACAGCAGGACTGAGTAGCAGTAGCCCTTCCAGTTGGGCTCCGAGCCCTTTATGAATTCTATGAGGAGCTCCAGAATCTTCGGCCCGATGAAGATCATTATGTCTTGGGAGAGCTTCAGGAAGGCCCCGAATATGAAGGTGGGACCGAATGCTCGGCACAGGGGCGCCAGGACTGACGCCACTTTCTTTTTGCGGGAGCTGTTGAAGTTCACTTGGCCTGAGGCCTTGCGGAACGATGCCTTCGCTGATTGATTGCTGGAAGGGAGGGGGGCAGGGTCAATAGTGGCTCATAACGTTTGTTTATAATGAGGGGTTGTGATGAATAATTCTTGTTCGCAGGAAAAAATTTAGGGAAAAAGACTATGAAAATTGTCTTGATGTTTTGTTAGAAGTTAAATAAAATTTAAGTAAAAATGATGTGAGAATTTTTTTGATGTTTTATTAGAATTCTATTAAAAATTCTGTTTTTTTTTCGCTGTTTGTATGGGAGATTGAGGGACTGTCCTGTCATTTTGTTATGAGATATTTGAGAAAAAAAGTCGAAGAATTTTAATTTCTTTAGTGGAAATTCTTGGGAGTCAATTTTCTAATTTTTTTTCTGCTATTTTTTTTCTCATAATAAAGTTCTAGGAAAAAAAATCTGAAAGAATTTCGGCAGAATAATTTATAAAGGAAATGATTCTATAGATAAAATGCATTTTTAATAGAATTCCAATGGAAACTCAATAGAATTTGCTTTTTCTATTACATTTTTTTCTACGTGAATAATTCAGGGTAATAAAATTTCGTTATTTTTGTTCGTTGAAATATAATGGAAAATAATCAAAACTAATTTTTTTCGGTGGAAAATCGAAATAAAGCGGGCAATAGTTGAAATTTCGATTCAGTCATGAAATTCGGGAATTCTCTATCACTCAATTAACCGATTACTAGTTACTGATGTCATTGTCAACAATGAATGATGAATTTTACATCAATGTTGATGAGAAAAGTAATCAGAAAATAATTTTTTTCTCATGTAAAAGGCCGAGTAGGCCATACTTGGCATTAATAAATAAATAAATAAATAAATAATTTTTTTCTCTAATGTGGCGATGAAAATCGAATTGGACAGCATTATAATTACAAATTTGACATAGATCTCTGAAATGTCATTTTTCAGATTTAATTTCGTTGTATTGTCCCACTTGGAACTCCTTGGAATCAGAATGAAGCGAATGTTTGTAGATTTTCGTTTATGAAAAGACAATGTTCAGTCAACGTACCTACAATAATCCCACATGAGCCTTGTTGGCAAATTAGAAGAAACACAATGATAATAATGAGAGTAAAGTGCCTTTTGGTAAAGAATAAATAGAATTCAGTAGTGAACTGTTTAAATTATTTTGTTGATGAGTATTTTTGAAGAAAATGTCACTCACTGTCGAGAAAATTAATTGAATCAAGATGAATTACAATTTTAAAAAATTGATTGATGAATTAATTTAATTAATTTTTTTTAATTGTGTTTTTTTATTAAATTAATTAATAAAAATTAACAGAATCAATTCATCAATTAATTTTTATTAATTGCATCAATTCAATTAATTTTTTATCTTCATCAATATTAAATCATAATGATGAATAGTTTTGAGGGAGAATACCAAGAAAAATTTGAAATTTTTTCCTCAAAACTATTGATCATAAAATAAATAGCAATTGACGAATAGCAAATTGATGCCTTAAACGCAAAAAAAATTCATTTAATATTTTTCTCTAAATTGGCTGATTTTCGAGATAAATAGATCATCAATAAAAATGTCGAATTAAAGTTATGAATTATCAGTTAAAATTATTAATCGTTCAAGACAAAATTTCATTCACTACTGAATTGTTATTTAATTTATCGGTTGCGTGATTATAATTATCAGCTTGTGCTCACCTGTCATACTTTCGTAAGCTTTTGTTCCAATATTTGTCGAACTTGGGGACAATTTCCGAGGCTGTATCTTCTGGGTTCATCGACCACAGGTCCGATGTTTCCAGGGGTTTTTTGAAGCCTCTCCATGCCAATGCATCGAACCAGGCGAATGTCATTCTCGAAGGGTATGAGGCACTTTGTTCCGGGCAGGGTTTGTCAACCTATTCAATCATTATTTTAACAATTGACGGGAATTCAGGTTCACAATAATTTAATGAAAAAAAAAAAACAGTAGAATTGTATTTTTTCAACTTATTCTTGACACATTTTCTCCAGAAAATCGTCAGCCCAAATTTTTCAAGTTTTTCGTTTGATTTTTTCAATTATAAAAATAAAATAAAGTGAAAAAAAATCAGAAACAAATTTTTCTAATTTTTCGTTTCATTTTTTCAATTAGAAAAATAAAATCGAGTGAAAAAATTCTGAAAATTTATGTCGACGGCTTTCTGCCAAAAACATCTGAATAATTTGTACATAAATATGAATATCAATTGATTTTTCTGTGTGGAATATTGAAGAGAAAATATTTTACAGAAAAATATGGATAAAATTGGGTTTTTTTTGTAATTAATTGAATGATGATGAATTATGATTTTACCTCAGCATATTCCGAGAACTTGGGTTTATCATCAACCAGACAATTAAGCAGGAAGAGTGCCAGTACAATTGGATAATATATCACATAGGATATTCTCCAATAACTATCCTCTTGATCCCAATTCCTCAGAATGCGTCGGAACTGTACAATGCCGCACAATGCGAGAAATGACCAGAACAGAAACAACAATCCCGATGCTCTCATCCCCATCTTTCTGTTGTAATGTACCAGAACTGCTGCCAATGACTGCAAAATCATTATTCGGTTTATTTGTAAATTCATTCTTCAGGTTTTGAAAAATTACGTTGGAAATGAATTTAATAGAAAACATTTTGCACAGGTGTTTTTATTCCACTGGATTTTTTTTTATAAAAATAAATAAATGAATGAATGAATGAATGAATAAATGAGTAGATAAGTACTTCGAATTTTTTTCACAAAAAATACTATTCCAAACGGAATTTCTATTGATTGTTGCTTCCAAATTGAAGTTTTATAATCGTTTAAATTCAAGTTTTCAATTTTTTATGTTATATATCAACTCTTTACGATCCAAAAAGACCAAATTTTTCGTCAATCGCTCGCTAATGAATGAAAACAATTTTGATAACATCATTTTATTGAAGTTTGAAGAGAAAATAGAGAGCATAACTTTTTCATCTGTTTCATCCAAGAATTTTCACAAGAAATCTGTCATAATTGATGAAAGAAGAAATATAATTCAATTGAATAAAATGTGAAACGATGGATGATATACGACTGAAGAAAATGATGTGCAAAGTGAACATTAGGAAGCGGTATTTATTTGCAAAAATAGCTGTGCTGCGCGAAGAAGCAATTTCCCTCTCATTTTAATTTGCAATCAAACGGAGTAATACTTACAAATGTGACAAACTTAATGATTGGTGTGTAATAATTAACTGTTTTGGAATTGGTCTGATGCACAGCCATTCCCAAATCCGTAACACTAAGTACAATAAGTACAGCCGTAAGTACACCTTTGGCGATGAATTTCCATGAATATGGTATGTCTCTTCGTTTACTATTTATCAAATAATATGCCTCTAAAAATAAAAATGTCCAGAGGAATGCACAGGGCGTCCAGACAAGCACTGTATTTTGAAAACATGGAGTCAGATCTGGATCTGTCGTGTTCCATGACAGATTATAATCCTGGAAAAATATAAAATAATTTATCAAAAGTGTTGAGAATTAGTAGATTAATAAAATTATGGTGGAAATTATCTGCACTTTTTTTCCAATAGAAAATATTTTGCAGAAAAATTTTGTTGATTCCTATATTTTCTATAAAAATTTCATGATATAAATTTCAAACTTATGTTGATTAATTTAATATTGAAGAGGTAGAAAAATTGATTAAATGGGAGAGAAAAAAATGGATTAAAAACAATAAAGCAGAACAGTTTTTAAGTTGAAAATTTCTATGTAAAATACCAAATTCTATTGAGTTTTTCTATAAAATAGTTTCACTAAACATTTTCTATTGAAAAAAAAACTCATGAAATTTTCAATAAGTCTCAAGAAATGAAATGAACTTCTGCGATTTTTTTTCTCATGCGTGCGATGAAATTTATGTAATTGCTTACCCAAAAATGCGAGCCACAGAAATCGTCCATTTCGTGCTTCTCCATTTCATTATCCATTTGTCCTATTAAATTGTGAATCCAATGGGGTCACGTGCTTACCACTCTGTGGGAGCGTAAATAAAGGAATTAAATCACTGATTGAGTGATACGAAACAAGCTGTTGCACAATGTGGATTCATATTATTTTGTACGTTCTGTGGGCACTCGCTGTGTGTCATTCCATGAGTTTGTAAATATTATATCTTGAAGGCTTCAGAGAATACTGGTAATGAGTCAGTAGGGAAGTGGCAATGTCAGGAGACAATGTACAAAATCATTGCCTGGGGATAATTTATTTTATTGCAGATCAGGGTTTCTCGACATTTTCATCCATACGAAGGCAAAAATTCCATAGAAAAATCCAACGAGTTCTGTAGGAAATTCTAATGAGGAATCCCGTAGGTTTACAGTCCGTTTTTAAAATGGAAAATAGCCGATAGGAATTATTTTATAGACAAAAAACTTTGAAATTCACTGGGTTTTTCTATATGTTTTTTTCATACGTATGCACTTATTCTCGGTGCAAGATCAACAAGAATTCACTATTGAAAAACATTAAATCACAATATTACTAACATTATTTATTTTTCTATTGAGACGTTTGCTATAGAAATTCCTCAACATGAATTTCCCAACATTTTCCATTATATTTTTCTCTTCATTGAAAATAATAATTAATATTGATGAATTAATATTATTATTATGCAATAGAATAATTTGCATAGAAAAATCAAATTTCATTAATTCTTTCTATAGAATATTTTCTGATGCATACTTTTATTGAATATTTCCGTTGAAAAAATGATAACGTGCAGATAAGCAGCGCAATTTTCCGATGCAATCGGCCAAAAAATAATAGAAAGTTCAATAGACGTCCAATATAATTGTAATGAATTCCATAGGTTTTTCTAGAATTTGTTTTCACGCGTGTACACGTATTATCACCATAAATGCCGAATGAATGTAAATTCACAACTCAAAACCATTGAATCACATCATTACTAACATTGACAATAACAAAAGATTCCAAACAAATTGTCACCACTGATTACAATCCCTAGTACTGTCATCATCTCCTTATCACTAATGACTTCGCTACTGAATTACCACCACAAGTTCCCAAGTTTCACCAGAATGGTGAAGACACACATGAATAACGAAACTATTGGCAGAATAACGCGCTAACAACTATCACTCGAGTCTCTACCTGTCATGATTGAAGTAAATTCCATATCAGTGAACTTCATCAAGTCAGGGTGCATGAGAAGGCTTTACGGAAAAGCCTAGCGCATTTATTGGAAAATTCCATTGGATTTCTACTGAACATTCTATAAGATTTTGGAATGGGAAATGTTGAGTAGAAAAAATCAATAGAATTTTCGTTTTTCTGGACGACTCGTTCTACTCAGATATTTTCTATAGAAATTCCTCAGTTTTAATTTTACTAGTTGTTTTGTTGGACTTTTTTTTCTTACAATAACGCGCTAACAACTATCACTCGAGTCTCTACCTGTCATGATTGAAGTAAATTCCATATCAGTGAACTTCATCAAGTCAGGGTGCATGAGAAGGCTTTACGGAAAAGCCTAGCGCATTTGTTGGAAAATTCCATTGGATTTCTACTGAAAATTCTATAAGATTTTGGACTGGAAAATTGTGAGTAGAAACAATCAATAGAATTTTCGTTTTTCTGGACGACTCGTTCTCTTGAGATATTTTCTATAGAAATTCCTCAGTTTAAATTTTACTAGTTGTTTTGTTGGACTTTTTTTTCTTACAATAACACGCTAACAACTATCACTCGAGTCTCTACCTATCATGATCGAAGTAAATTCCATATCAGTGAACTTCATCAAGTCAGGGTGCATGAGAAGACTTTACGGAAAAGCCTAGCGCATTTATTGGAAAATTCGATTGGATTTCTACTGAACATTCTATAAGATTTTGGAATGGGAAATTTTGAATAGAAAAAATCGATAGAATTTTCATTTTTCTGGACGACTCGTTCTACTCAGATATTTTCTATAGAAATTCCTCAGTTTAAATTTTACTAGTTGTTTTGTTGGACTTTTTTTTCTTACAATAACACGCTAACAACTATCACTCGAGTCTCTACCTATCATGATCGAAGTAAATTCCATATCAGTGAACTTCATCAAGTCAGGGTGCATGAGAAGACTTTACGGAAAAGCCCAGCGCATTTATTGGAAAATTCCATTGGATTTCTACTGAACATTCTATAAGATTTTGGAATGGGAAATTTTGAATAGAAAAAATCGATAGAATTTTCATTTTTCTGGACGACTCGTTCTACTCAGATATTTTCTATAGAAATTCTTTAGTTTAAACTTTTTTTTCTAAAAGGGGAGAAAAATGGAGCGTACGAAATTTATTTCGAGGAATTTCCATAGAATTCAAGATTTTAGGAATTTATTTTAATAATTTATTTATTTTTATTTTTTTTCGTATATTTTTTTTATTTTTCATGGAATTTCAAACCCCAAAAATCTTGAAACCTTATCCCTCACAATTTCTATAGGATTTCTCGAGAAATCTCAAGAGAATAATTCACATAAAAAAATATAAATCCTCGGGCCTTTTTCTGTCTACAATCAGACACACAGAATTTCCCTGCAGAATTTCACTAGAACTCGAGAACAACTCTCAAAATTTCAAAATTTCCAAAAGAAAATTCTGAAAAAAAACTAATTCCAAAACTCCAATTGTTAAGAATGCAACTGCATTATCTTACACACTTCTCGGATGCACTATCTACCCCCTAGCCCCTCTAGATAACGCATCAACTCCACACCTCAAACTAAAATTTCCCAACTTTTTACAGCTTCCAACGGCAAACTCACTCGCCCTCAGCAATCCTCAGCTAACCGTGGCAGCATCCCTCGGCGTCACAACCACCGTTGCCACCAGAACAGAACATAAAATTTCCTAACCACTAGCAATTCCAATAAACTCCCACATAAACTCCAATTTCACTCACACTCCACTGATCAATTAAAAATTCCGCACCAAGCGATAATCCCCTCCCCCGAGGCGCGTAATTCAATATCACCACAGGTTGTAATCAGAGCTACTGAGATGCATCAAAAGCCCTCGACAATTCGTAATAGAAAAATAACTCGACATCAATTGGCTGTTACATGACAAGTTATAATAGTGGAGAGGCTAGGCCGGTCAGCAGCAATCAAACATTGACAACGGGGAGTGCCAAGGACGAGCGTTTACCATTGGCCACTCAATTCTACTCCTAAACAATTCCCTCAACTCGAGAAATGCAATACAAGGAAAATGAGTTGCAACGGACTCTGCATTCACCTCGACGCGAAACGTGTCGCAACACTTGGACGAAAAAAATTCAGTCGGAAATTGGGAAATGTTGGAATTAGCGAGTGTCACCCACTGTTGGGGGCTCTAGAGTGGACCTTACCTAAGTGCGGAGAGAAGACTGAGCTCTACTGTTGCGATCACTCGTAATCATTATTTTTCAACTGATTCAACCAGTCAAGGCATTACCCCACTCTACGCCATTTTGCGGCTGTGTGGGGCACTAACACTTGGGAGAGGAAGTGTGTTAAAATGTTGACAAACCTCACCCCTCGAGGTTTGCATCACGGGGAATGAAACATTGCGCGGAATACCGTAATTCGTGGGGTTTTTATTGATGCTCTTGGGTACACAGTACACTGATAGAAAAATTATTTTTGTTGGGATGTTTTGCTCTTGGGGAAGAGCGATTCCTTTGGCACCGCTTTTTGACGGGTTTTCCGCACAATTTTCCCTCAGATTACGGAAAAATGGAGAGAAGGTTCCCGTTAGTTTTTTGGATGTGAGCATTTCAATCCTCATTTTTCAAGATATGAACATTTCCGGAAGTTTTTGAATATTTCCGTAAAGCACTCACATTCCTACAATTGAATTCAATGAAAAATCTTCAAGTGAAAAATCGTGAAATTTTTAAAAACGAATAATTTACATGACATTTTCATTGAGCTTGGTATTGATAAATCAGTCAATGTTCTTGAATATTCAGCTATAATACCCCAAGACCTTCAAAATTATCGGATATTTCCCGAATGTTTTGTTACATAGCAACGAGAGGGACCAGTTTTGCAGATTTTACTGCAAAGCTGATCCCGATCGTTGATATGCAGGAAAACTCGAGGGAAATATCCGATGAATTTTGAAGGTCGAGGGGTATTCGGAGGACAATTTCTTCAATTCTGATTTTGGCCGATCAGGGTGCAGTGTTCAGGGTTACGGTGAGGAATATCTGTCAAATTCGTAGATAACAATTGACAGGCTACAGGGAAATTATCAGTGTGAAACGCGTCACGTGACTCCGAATACTGCACTCTGATTGGTCAAAATCAGAATTGAGGAAATTGTCAATGAAATTTGATTTCTCAGGTTCATACGACGACGAAAATTACTGAAAATCATGAAAATTCAGGCAACTTTTATCCTGAATTTTCAATCGATTGCTTAATTTTCGCGAGAGGTTTGAAAATCCAAATTGTCATTGAAAATTCAACGATCATTCACAACGAAAAACTTAATTTTCTTGAATTTCCAAGATGAATCGGGAATTCCATGAGCAATTTAGCCTGAAATTGAACTCAAGTTCAGAATATTGAAAATTCAAATACATCTGTTACTTAAATTTCCAAAATTTCTAACAGTGAACGTCAAAACAAGAAAAGGCGATTTGGAGGGGATTTTAATAAAAAAAAATTTGTTGGAGATTTTTTTGACTGATTTTTTTTTGCAAAAATTGCGACGATCGCAGAAATTCAATCGACAAAATCTTCAATAAGATTTCCCAGCAACCAGTATGTCGACAATTTTTCAACAAATTGCCGATGTTCTGTTAAATTTTAGATGTCACTGGCAAAAATTGTTGTCTGAGTTGTAATTGTTCATTTATAATTTTTCTGTCCGTGCACTAATCTCCTTCACAACATCGTACATTCGACGCAAAGAGAAGACGAGTCCCCCGACTCGTCAAACTTTTAACTTGCGGGCATAGGGAAGTGATTGTAAACACCTCGAAAATCAAAAATCGATTTGTCATCGTATCTTTACGTGTCAAGGTCCCCAGAATGTTTGTAGGCCATTTTTGTGATTGAAATTAACATGCTCATTAACTTGATGCCTCCCAACGTTGTTCAGTCACAATATCGTACATCCGACGCAAAAAGGAGACGAGAGTCCTCAACAAGTAGAAACAATAAGCGAGTTAGAGGGTTACACCTCATTAAATTCTGGAGTAAATCGATCCAGTGGTTCTCCAGTTTTCCCAGAAAAAACATGGAAAAAGGGATTTCAGAAAAACTTTTAGTCGATGACTAGTTATGAACCAATGATGGGATCAAGGTCACATCGGAGTCTATTCACGTCCTTCATACCTGTAAGAATTCATTCATCATCCTCGAAAAGTCGACATTAGAGCGGTGTAAAATCCATTTCTAATTCGGTAAAATTGTCGATAGTTTACATGTCTATTTGATTTATTCACTGGATTATAAATTTCTTTTTTTCTTATATATATCAATTTAATTTCCTACAAAGAAAGAGAATTATTATAGAAGAACCGGAAAGTTGTTGCGACCCGGGAGCGACCAAAAACATTCATTTCATTTTGAATCATTTGATTTTTGAGACGCCACTTAAAAGACACCACTTGCACTGAGAGAACACCGACAAAGTTCTCAAACAAGTCTTACTTGTGCCAAGAAAATAGTTTTTTGAAAATGATCAAAAAAGGATTTTTTTTGTGCTAAACATGCTGAGAGTGCGCTGGAATGAAAAATTTTTGTCGCAAAAATGGATTTAGTAGTTGAAAAAAAATTGCATTCTCTGTACACGCAAGAAATGTCATTTCTAGCACTACTTCGTTATTCGGTACTCCCATACGTATTTTGCTCCCGAAAAATCTTTGTTTTATGCGAAACAAGGGATAGTAGTTTTTCGTTTCGGCTGTCTAACAATCACAGACAAGAAATGAACCCTTAAATGAAACAATGATAATGATATGATAGCAATCTTGTAACTTAGGGATAAAATATTTCTATATGAGATATTTTCATCCTGAAAAGGCACCGTCTGGTGTGAATTATCCGCCTCTTGAGCCAAATATTTCGTTGCTATTGAAAGCAGAACAATTATTCATGTTTGAGACTTTCAAATTCAAACCAAACAAATTCTTTTTTGACAATTTTCAACTAGCGATTTTGTTGGCGCAAACAAGACTTGTTTAACAACATCTTTGGTTTTCTCTCAGTGTAGTTTAATGATAATAAACATGTGTACGCTAATTTATTTACCGGGAATTCAACGGAACTACTTGGGGTCGATCGCTCGTCTGAGGTCAACGGTAGAAATGCGGGAAATGCTGAGAACTACAAGTGACTAATTGACCGCGGTCAACTGCCCCCAGGCATTTGTATCCATTATACACACGTGGTAAATTCATACGCGTTCGCTGTTGTCTTCTCGCCTCCCACTGCAGGCGCGTACAATCATTCAACTGCTACATTTTTTTATGGAACATCTTCTGATCCAAATCCGCGTAGAAAAAAGGCAAATATCCGATTGATATTTAAAAAATCGTAAAGACTTTCTCTAAAAAGTAAGACGCTTTCTCTTGAAAATTGAAATTCTCTTGAGTTTCTCATGGAACTCTATTATAATTCAATTTGCATATTGATCTTTCAAAATAACTTATTAGGATCTCCTCTATAAAAATCCTTGAGCATAAATTCCCCAAGTTCTTCTTCTCGAATTTTGTAATGAGAAATAAAGAAAAAATTGCATCCCGAAAAATTGAAAAAAAAATATCAAGAGACTGATTTATCCAGAAAAAAATTGAATTTTGTAGACTTTTTTCTAAAGTTATTTTATTTCTCATTTTTGACGAAATTTAAGATTTATGAATTTGAAGACAATTCGAATAATCGGACGAACCTGACGTTTTCATTCAGACCCTTCATAGGTATTACCGATTTTTTTTCTATCAAATAAGCATTCTTTTTAAAGATTAAAAAGACGTGTATGAAATGAAAAAGCTTGTAGAATGTGTTAATAATGGTTGATAAACCCAAATTTTAATTAATTATTCAATGAAAAAATCGCAGATAGAATTCGTCAATCGGATTAATTTCATTCTCTTTCATCCTCTCATTCTCATTCCGTCTCGGCACTGAAAATCCCTCAAAACCTTGAGAATCCCATATTTCCCCCAACACGTCCAACATGACTTGCATTTTTATCCTAGAAATAGACCCGTCATAATTCCGGAAATGGAGCCTATATTTTATCGCCAAATAGGGCCCCTTTATTGAGAAAGAGATAGAGAAACAGATCACTTCATTCTTGGAAGAATCCCATCGTCAATACAAGCGTGTGATAAACTGGTATCGAATCGTCAATAATTGGAGCACTGGAGCAATTCACATGATCTCATACGACCCTTCGTAATCACCTACGTAATAGTACTTTTCATATTATGCTCCATTCGTTTGGCGAATAAATTGTTGATGCAGGACACGACATTAAAGTTGACAGACTTGTTGTTAAAAATATTTATTATTTACTTACATAAAATACAATCGTTGGGTGTAACAGAGAGACTCTCAAAACATTGCCTCCACTAGCACAACTCCTCCATTTTTCTTTCATCATTGATTGCGTGATGTGTATCAATCCGACGATAAGATACGTACAGTACCATTTTATTTATTATCACTGCATGACTCGCGAAAAATTTCAAACGTCCATTAAAAATGTTGATTTTTTTGTAATCAAGCTCTTGACTTTTTTATAAAGATTCCGAGCCAACTATGCGATTTCTACAAATCAGATCTTATTTGAAAGGCTTAAAAAATTCCTTGAAAATGACACTAAAGTTGTTTAATTCGATTCTGCCGTTCTTTAGTTATCGTTGACTAAACAAAGTTTATTTTACATACATCTTCGAATTTGAAAGAAACTAATCAATGCGTCTAAATCTTCGATACCTTCTGAACCAATGATGCGATTTGAGCGAGTCTCATTTTAAAGCTAAGAAAACATTCTTCAAAATGAGATTAAACTCATCGAATTCTACTCTGCCGATCTCGAGTTGTCGCCAATCAAATACCCGTAGTTTCACCACTTCGCCCTGATCTTGAAATTACAACAATTAAGAAGAATGTAAAAACCCGTCTCCATACGACCTTTACCTCGCTCTTCTCTTCAACATCACTGGACAATAGGACTATTGAACAACAGAGTCAACAGCTCCGGCTGCGAAAGATCCCGTTTATACTTCTGCATCATATCCTGAACCTTGAGCCTTCGTCTGACATGAGGTGGGTGATAGCTGTCGTTGTCCAGTCTCTTCCTCCTCGCCATATTGATCGCAGTCTGTCTGACTAGTGTTCCCAAAACCCTCCTGGACACGAGCATTCCATCGATCAAGGGAGTCGCCAGATTGATCCTGGAGACCGGCCCCTGGAGTTTCACCCTCAGCAGACCATTCGACAATGAATGAAGATAAATCAGCAAGACGTCAGAGGCCTGCAAGGTCCTGCAATTTGATTCCAATCCAGTGCTGGAATAAGGGAGCAGCTGATCCACAGGGAAGTGCGCGTAGTCCTCAAGACTCTCCAGCCAAACCACCATGATCTTCGTCTCCATCTGCCCTGGGAATGAGTGTTTAGTCGTTCTCCTCGACCTCACAGGAAATTCTGAGTTTGATGATACACTCGGGGGCCCTGAACTCGTCAGGCTTGACGGCTGCTTCTCCAGGTCCAAGGACATTGTCCTGGAGCTCGTGGTCTGGGAGCTCTGAGGGGCGTATCCACTGTCCACTCTGTAATGATGTAATTTATTCGAGACGTCAAATACTTTTCAAGGCCGTCGGCCAAAAACTAATAAAATTTTCTGTAGAAGTTCAAGAGAATTTTCTGTTGAAATCTACAAGTTCTTCTAGGAAATTCTTTAGTGCAGCTCAATTCGAAGGACAACTGCAACTTTGTTTTAATAATCCAAAAATGACGGCAAAAGGATAATTTCAAAAAGTCAATAATTCCGAAAATTCTTAATAATTTTCATTAAATCAACAAAGTTCTAGAATTCTACCCAATTCATGAACCCTATTCTACCAGAACTCCAATAAAACTACAGAATAATATAAAATATGAAATATTAATAATAAAATATAAAAAATTTAGAAAGAATTGAGAATCGTTAGAGGTTTTTAAATAATTAAAGCATCAAAACAAATCAAAAACTTGAATCAAAAACTTCAAAAATTTGAACTTCTACGAACCTCGAAGCAGCTCTATTCGACGAATGTTCGCTCATACTCCTTTCATAATTGCAATTATAGCTAGTGCTGCAGTCACTACTGCAAATTCCTTGATCCTCAAGACAGTCAGACACCTGATGATTGCTGTTGCTACTCGCACTTGACGTCGCTGTTGGAACGATGAAAGCTATTTCTGAGCTGACATCCGCCCAGTACAAGACGTGAGTGTCGCCACTGTACAGGGAACCCCCATTTTCACTGGCATTGAGCGTCGAATTACTCTGAGACGAACTGATATTCGGAGTTATTCTCCAGGAAGTCGTGACGTGTCCAGTCCACCCCGCGTGATCCCTGACCCTAACAGGCCATCCCAGAGAGTTCAGAAACTCCAGAAAATGATCGGAAACGTTGTCTCTGCTCAAGACATTCGACAGAATGTCCCCTGGCGCCCTCTGGCCGGACTTGACGTAGAAAATGTGAACAGTGTCGCAAGTTCTGGAGTTTGTGTTGTCGAGGCTCTCCAGATCGGCGCAGAAGCCGGGGATCGACGGATCCAGTGCTGTGATCCCGAGGGATCGATCGTTCTCGTCCAAGATCGAAGGGTCGAAGCCGATGAAGCCGAAGTGGCTCAGGAAGAGACGCGCCGTCTGGAACTCGTGGGCATTGCTCGGGGGCTGACACTCCCGGTAGCTCTCACGATCGCTGCTGGAGGCCTTCGACTCCTGATCGATCTGGGATTCAATGGTCATCTGGGAGTCGAGGATCTGGGAGAGCAGATCGTGCTCTTCTTTCACGGATGCGTTGTCGTTCATCACGGCCTCTAGGCTCGGGATTGATTCGTCTACCTGGGGGGATTTTCTTTTTGTTGTTATTCCTGATTCTATTGGATTTCTATGGATTTTGGAACGATTCGAGTGACCAATTTCGCAGCGCTACTGGACTGCACTAGTGATTTGCAGAAGAAAATATATAGAATTTTATCATTCTGTACAACTTTTCTGTTGGGACATTTTTTATAGAAATTTTGAGACATGGATTTTCCATGTTTTTTCCACTCGATTTGTCTTTTATTCATTCAAAAAATCATACAAAGTAACTTGGAAAATTTGAGCCGAGGATTTCTATAGAAAAATCGAATTCTATTGATTTTTTTTATATAACATTTTCCATTGAATAATTGCCCCGACAAACAAGGCGCATAAAATCAGTTCAAAGCGAATAGGAATTCATGAGAATTCCAGAAAATTCGATAGGTTTTTCTTCCAAAACTTTGTCATACATGACATTCGGAATTAATTTTCACGTTCATAATTTCATCATCAAACCATTGAAACAGAACAAAATGAAAGCTCCGACCTACCTTGCAGTGAGGAATCTTGTCGACATTATCAGGAAAGAATCTCGGTTTGTAATCAGTTCGCGGTAGTGTTTCAGCCAGTGGAAGAGGTCTCCCAGGATTCGGGTTGATGCTCTTGACCCCTGACTTATGCCTCGGCAGATGGCGAAGCTGCATCGTCCAGGCGTGCCGGCCGAAGGGTCCCCTGATGACAAGCGTCACTGTCGGATGGGGATCGTTATTGCTGTTAGCTGAATGCTCAGAGGTTCCCTCGAGGATAGCCAGCATGGTTGCGTTCTCAGCCACGAAATACCGGAATCGCTCGACCGCTTGGGAACGAGAGACACTCTCCTTCAGGCTCTGCTCCAAGAGAGACACCTCGTCCAGGAGCGATGAGAGGGATTGAGCCCCGCAGGCACTCGGAAAGTATCCGACTTGCTCAAGAACAATCGTCAGAAGACCGTCAGCTGCGTCTCTGACGCGCATCGACGCCGGCTTTAACTCCTTCTCGTCTTTCATTTTTATCGGCTCACCCGGCTTTCCGACACTCTTTGTCCCTGACACACCGAGCTCAACTACTTCCAGGACTGTTGTCAAACAGTCCTTGTCCTGGAGGAGCTGGGGGTGAGCGGTCAGCCAGGTTGTCAGACAACCGAACGCCGCTACTATCGATGAATGGAGATCCTTGGAGTGGGCCGGGGGTGGACGCCAACATTGATACGTTATGTAGTCGCACAGCCATTTAACTGCTCGTTTGCATTCCAGGGAATCTATTGAATAGTTTTGTAAATGGTTATGGGAGGTGACATTTCATCAAAGCTCTCGCCATTATGAAAATTCAAATCGACTTCTGGGGTGATAAAAATTTGGTTGTCAAAATTGACATTTCACAATTAAGGATTATGAGGGTCAGATTAAGGGTCAGAAGGTCATAAGGGTTACAGTGGTCCGAATAAGGGTCCCAAGGATCAGATTACAAGTCATATGGGTCAAATTAAGGGTCGCAAGGGTCAGATTACAGGTCATAAGGGTCACGAGGATCAAATTGAGGGTTTTAATAAGAGTCACACAGGTCGGGTTAAGGGACGTGAGGGTTTAAGACCAAGTGTCGGAAACTAACGGTCACCAGGGTCCAAATAAGGGTCCCGAGGGTAAAAAAGGGTTATCAGGGTCAGATTAAGGGTCAGAAGGCCAAAAGGGTTATTCACAAGGGTTATTACAGGTCATGGTCAAATTAAAGATCGTAAGGGTCAGATTAAAGATCATATATAGGTCATAAGGGTTACAAGGGTCGCGAGGATTATAATCAGGAGCATATTAAGGATTCAAATGAGGGTCACAAGGGTCAGATTAAGGATCACGACGGTTAGAAATGAAGAATCAGTAACTAAGGGTCGCAAGGGCCAAAATAATAGTGACGAGGGTTTTTTTTAACATTCTTTGTTTATAAATAAATAATTGAAATTGTTTAAACTTTCGGCAATCTCATTTTTTTTAGGCATGAATGCGATTTCTGGTAAAATTCAAATAATTTTTTGGTGGAAAATTGATTGTTTATAAATTATTCATAAAAAGTACTCGGAATTTTCAAATTTGGAATTTATCAGAATATTATATAATAAGTTTATCAAGTGTTAATTGAGGAAGGTATCTCCCATTATCAAACTGTCTCACCGTGAGATTTATGCAACTCGTTGGTTTATAATTTATGAGTGATTTTATAGTGTTTTCAATGCCATTGAGGCGATAACATCTCTGCGTTTGCCTGCTTGTCTAAACATGGAACGTATTATTTCGGAAAGAAGTAATTATTCCGACTCATCTCATTTCAACAGTGAGAATGATTACTTCAGCAGCAAAGTGGTGATGTAAATTGACTTTATGTCATATCGCGGTTAATTTTTCACAAAGAAAAATCAAGCCGTCAATGAAAAATTCTCGTAAAATTTTTTTCATTCCTTTGAGTATCGATAAATTTTCCAAAACGTCATCTCGAATTTGTGGTGAACTTATTATTATTACTTCTTTTTCCTTCACTACTAAATTATATAGATTTCATTAGCAAAATATATTCATGCCAAACCTGTCAATCTCCTCGCTAGTTTGTAATTGAAAATAGAACAGGGATAAATTTTTATAATTTAGATTTTCCAGCCAAATTTTAAGAAATCAAGGGGCAATGTTCGAGATTAAGTGATACATTGATGGAAATCATCTCATTTTTAATATTTTTCTTCTAATAAAATGATTATTAAAAATTATTATTATTATTATTATTATTATTTTAATTATTATTTTCTTTTTATTTTATTTTTTTATAATAACGCTTCGCTTTAAAAAAAACAAAGCAAGTATTTAAAAAATGAGCAATAAAAACAGATATTTCGTTGCGAGAGTAAATAAATATTGTATCTTCAATTATTGTGTACTTCTTCATATCGACTTTCTCGTAATCTCGAATATTGTACTCTCAGATAAAACCCTCCCATTCCAAATAATTTATTATCAGTAATACTAGACTGCCGTTTGCGCACAAATTTGTTTAAACTCAACCAGAAGGTTTCTATCCACATTAATTTCGTTTTTTTTTTCCTCCACAATAGTAATTTCGTTTACAATTTACTTTAGCATTTCTTGAAAATTCAAGTTATGTTTATACTTCTTTAAATGTTGAATATTAAACACTCGTCGTGTCGCATTGCTGGCCATTAGTCTCGTTATTCAATAAAATAAGTGAATCATTACCGGTTTCACGTATGTTGGTCCTCGCCAATCCCGACAGCAACTCAAGAGCAGCCAGGGAAATATTCAGATCGGTCTTCCACGAGGATATTAGCCGATGGCAGACTAGATAGGTAGCCCTCAAGAAGAGGGCATGAGCTGAATCTAAAGAAGATAAATCAGTCTCTCGAATTAATCCAGACCTCTTCCATCGTTGAAAAAAAAATTGGCACATGAGTATTGTTGTAGCTCTCAGAATCGAATGTCAATGGGTTTCATGAAGAATTCAAAAACACTTAACGCACATGAGTGCAACTATAATTCACTGTAAGCGCACAAATGAAAGTATTTACCAAAAGCAGGCGTTTCGTCCTGAACTGTGGACCCGTCGTCCCCCAGGGAGCGGAGGTCACTGCAAATGCTTATTTGACTGGTCGAGTCGCTGCTGGCTATAGAAGCAGCGTGATGATATCGCAATGACGAATGCCCAAAGGTGCAACCAAAATGGAAAATAAAACGAAAAAAATTGCTCAAAATCATAATGCAGGGGAGGTGTGGGGCAATATGGAACTATTAAATAATTAATCATTTTGGAGGAAAATTTTTGATTTTATGGGATTATCAATTTATGATTCATGATTTTATAAAGTCTGTGCATTAATTATAAAGCGTTTTATCATTTCAATATTGTATCCTAACCAATGCAGAACGGATGAAAAAATTTTATAGAAAAACGTTGCGAATTCGTTAGAAAATTCTATTGAATTTCTATTGAATATTAAATATTATTATTAATTTTTGAAGAAAATAGAATGAAAAAAAAACTTGAAAAATTGTTTTTATTGAATATTTTCTATTGAACATTTCAACAGAGTCAACCAAAAACTAATAGAAAGTTCAGTAGAAATCCAATCAAATTTTTCAACGAGTTCACCAGGTTTTTCACATTAATTAATTTCCTAGAAATTGTTAAAAATAATTTTGTGATGTTTTTTTTCCGCTGTATTATCGTGTTTCTAATTACAAAATCAACGAGAAAAACATTCTGCCAAATTAATGCCCAAAAATTCTCACAGCATCAATGCCAATGGACTAATTAAATGCAAGAATTAACATCTATCGAGTGTTTTTATGAATTCAATGTCTTCAGTGCTGATTAAAAGAGTTCCATTTTGCCCGACTATCTCACAGATTTGAGACACGAGCCATGAAGTCACGAAAGCAGTTGAAATACTTCCGAGAAAAACGTAAATAATAAGAAAGAGAGATCTCAAGCTGTCGAAGGATTGATGTGTTATGTATGCATTCTTGCATTTTATTCGGGAAATGAAAATTACCAGACGTCAGTAGATTCGTCGACGTGTCATTGTCCACTGTATCGAGAGGCGCTGATTGCTCGACTTCCTCTGCAGTCGCCGAGTCTTGAACACTCAGGAGTAAACCACCTTGAAAAACGTTTTTAAATTCATCCGAAGGATCTGAATTCATAAAAAAAAATTAATGATGAAATAACGTACCTAATAGCATGTGCGTGTTCAAGGGATCTGATTCCACTTGTAGAGCATTTATCAGAAGATTCATCAGTCTGGGCTTCAGTTGGCCGAATGTCAGTGGAGTTTTATCGGGATTGTTGTCCATTGGAGAGAGTGAGAATTCTCGAATTGGAAGATTCTGAGGAAAATAAATGGAATTTATTGCTGAATTCATTGAGTAATGGCTCAAAAGTTTTTGTGATGACATTTTTTTTTTACGATGACTTTTGCAAATTTTGAACAAACAGAGCATTTTTAAATGTTTTTTTTTTTCAAAAATCAGGTTTCAAATTTATTCAATTATGCGTGAAAAGTTTTTATTAGATCGTTTTAAGTTTCACGATAATATCGACAGCATCACTCTTTCATTTGATTTATACAAGAATTTTCATCATTAATTAGCTAAAATAACTATTCTAAATGAAGATAAAAGAATTGTTCCACTTGTTTAATGGAAAAACTCTCAAGAGAATATTTCGTACAAAGGTAAAACAAGCAGGGATCATAATTAAATTTAGCTTCTGTTAACTGATAATATTACCCAACAATTTTCAATTACCAAATTAATCATCAATCGAATATTCAAATTGCGAAATAATCTATCAACCGGTAATCTTGTCAAAAGTTTGACAACTACATGTCGAATTGAAAAATCCTTTTATGAAATTTATAATTATTTACTCAATAGTTAATAGAAAATTTAAATCATGAATTATTTTCATGTTTTCAAATTTCAAGTAAGATAATAAAATCATAGTAATAAAATTTGCAAATTTGAATAATATTACAAAATATTACGAATATAATGGCTGTCGACTCATTGCTGAAAACAATTAACTAATTAGCAAAAACTAATTACTTCATCTTGATAAAATGGCAAAGGGCGAAAATTTAATTTCCATTCAAACCTGAAAATGTAAAGGCAATGCCAACATCGATATCAGCATCTGAATGGAGGCCCTTCGTAGCTCTATCTTTGAAACATTTGATGATTTCAACTTGAGATCTTTATCAGGCAGCACCAGCTCTAGGGCTGTTAAAACTGCTGGCGCGAGCATCTCAACCCCATCCAGATCCAATCGAAATAGATCGGCTGAGTTTGATAGAATGCTGGCTAGGGTTTCTCCACACTCTCGATTCTATCAAAATTAAAAGAAAACAAAATTGAAAAAATCGAACAAGTGCCCGCCCAATTTGGCAAATTAACTAATTAATTTAATAATTCAATTAATTTTTGTAAGACCTGTCTCAAAAGTTCACTTTTCGAAACCGTTTAGTGTGTGTAAAGTGGTTGCACAAAAGCAACCACTTTACCCCCACTACGGTTCCGAACAGTGAACTCGGCAGATATTACAAAAAATGGGATGTGTTACGCGTGCGTGCGAAAAAGTAGTTCTTTACGCACTTGTAACACAATATACTATTGTCACATGTAGAATCAGTTATCAATTCGCGAGAGATTCTTCCACTACTTCAGTAATCAGTAATAATTTCAGAATATTTTTCCATTTAAGAATTGAAATTGAGACGAAAATGTTTTATTAAAATCGAAAAATTGAAAATACTAAAATATGACGGAAAGTAATGATTAATTTTTAATTATGATTGAGGAGATATGTTCACCTCATCAACTCTGAGCCCTCGATGCATCGCTTGGTAGAATCTAGCTAAATACACCGGAAATATTTCCTCCCCAGTCTTTTTAGCGCAGAATATCCTGCAAAGTGCACCCATGGCTTCTGCCTTCCCTGACTCGTAGCGATCGATGCTCAGGGATGTTGGGATTTCGTTGATTGTTTCTTGAAGGGAATTTGGACCCTCTACTAGCACGGATGACGGTCGCTTTGAGGCACCCACTGGCTCTACATATCAATTAAATTCAAGAGAAATTGCATAATCATAAAATTTATGTTCCGAAAATTTTTATTCAATTTTTGTTTCATTATAAAATTAAATTCAAAAAGCTTGAAAAATGCTTGACCAAGAATTGATGGAGAAAAATCTATTGAGGCACCCACTGGCTCTACATATCAATTAAATTGAATAGCAATTAAATAATTAAAAAATTGATGTTCCAAAAATTTTCATTCAATTTTTTTGTTTTTCATTATAAAATTAAATTTAAAAAACTTGAGAAATGCTTGACCAAGAATTAATGAAGAAAAATCTATTGAGGCACGTACTGGCTCTACATATCAATTAAATTGAATAGCAATTAAATAATTATAAAATTTATGTTCCAAAAATTTTCATTCAATTTTTTTGTTTTTCATTATAAAATTAAATTTAAAAAACTTGAGAAATGCTTGACCAAGAATTGATGGAGAAAAATCTATTGAGGCACCCACTGGCTCTACATATCAATTAAAGTGAATAGCAATTGAATAATTATAAAATTTATGTTGCAAAAAATTTTATTCAATTTTTTTGTTTTTCATTATAAAATTAAATTTAAAAAACTTGAGAAATGCTTGACCAAGAATTGATGGAGAAAAATCTATTGAGGCACCCACTGGCTCTACATATCAATTAAAGTGAATAGCAATTGAATAATTATAAAATTTATGTTGCAAAAAATTTTATTCAATTTTTTTGTTTTTCATTATAAAATTAAATTTAAAAAACTTGAGAAATTCATGGTGAAGAATTAATGGAAAAAAAAATTATTGATTTTTCTCCATTAAAAATCAGAGCTAAAAATGCCAACGATTTTTTTTGGAGAAACTCTTCCATAAAATGTTCTTCATTAATTTATTGATATTCAATTCGACTATATCACTTGAAATCATCAACAAAAATCATTCGTAAATTGTCAACCACTGAAAACTCACGGGGTAAACTCTGCGACCAGCCATCAGTGCCAATGAACGCAGCTTCGAACAGCCACTCACCAAAGAGATGTAGAACTGTATTACATTTTGGTCGTCCTGGAGCCAGTGGGGGTCTGATGTCACTGGTGAGGGATGTGGCAGCTAGAAACCACCGCGTCATGTTCAATGATGCTGTTCGAGGGGAAAAAATGACTTTTGAGGAATAAAAATTTCTTACAAATTGTACTTGACGTTGACGAGGGCCCGGAGTTGGCAATGTTGATCGACGTGTTGGATATTCTACTTGTTGTTAGTCCAATCAACGACGCTTTTGGTATTCCTATACGATAATAAAGATATTCATTACCGGAGAACTATTGAGAAGTAGGAAATTCAATTGAATATGAAGTTGTGTTGGAATTTGAAGCAAAAAAATTCGAGAAAATTGAAAAACTTTGAATACTAGTTGAAATTCTCCTGCAAAACTTTCATTTTTCTACACATCTTTATCTATTGAAACATTTTTTACAAAAATTCTTCGACACGAATTTATTAACTTCGTTTCATTTTTTTTCTCTTTTCGTGTGAAAAATTAAATAAAAAACTCAGGAATTCCTATAGAGAATGTTTCAATAGAATATGTTTCAATTGCATAGAAAAATTCAATTTTATTACTTTTTTTCAATTAATATCTCAATTGTTCATCATTGGCCCCTATTATCTTCGAGTTTAGCCACTCGGTGCAATTTAAAAGGTGCAAATGTCTTGAAAATACTGAGAATAAAGTGTGCTGTACCCTTAGTGACAGCAGATGGTGTAACGCTGAAACTTTTCGCAAGTCTGCGTTGTGTTGGGGGTGTGGGTGAGGGTTGGGGTTGATCCTTGGTTATTTTTTCACCACCAGCACCACCAACTCCAGACACACTGGTGTTCGATAGTCCAGTAGTCGCGCAGCATTCTTCCCAGCAACAAGCTTGAGAAATGCCTGAAAATTTCCATTCACCGTGCCTGTTACCCACGCATGCAAGAATTCAATGGGAAATACGAGGAGTTTCCTTTGGAAATTTCACAATTTTTCGCGCATTTTCCCAGATTTTATTTGCAATAACTTTCAACGGGACTTCCTTGAGATTTTCATAATTGCGAGCTTTTATTAATTATTTTATTCCCTTTTTTGCTGATTTCTTGTGAAATTGATGTGAATTTTATAGAAAAAGAAGTCAAGGGATGTTGAATTTTCTAAATAACGTATTCTGTTGGGATTTTTCTTGAAAGAATTCTGGGGCATGCTATTTTTAACGTTTTATTCTTCCAAGATTATGTAAATTTTCAGATTTTCTTGGAAAATTTTGGATGAAAAACGAAAAAAACTGCAACCGAAAAAAATGGAAATTTTAATTGTTCAAAAATTTCAACAGGAAGAATTTCAAAAGAATAATTCCAGTAAAACAGTAAAAAACCATTGAATTTTTGCTACTCAATATGCATAAAAAAATAAATAGCATTTTTAAGTAGAATTCTATTAATTTTTCACAAATGAATTGATGATTTTGCCATTTTATTTAGTTTTTCATTCATTCTAAATTTGTATTCCATTCATTATTTCAATTCTATTATTTCTCATTTTATTATTCTTCTCATTCTCATTTTATTATTCTTTGAACATGTTTATCCCAAAAAATTGGGGAAAATGCTCTCCATTTCAATAAAAATCAGCAGAAAAGCACTAGAAGGTTCAATTAAATGTTTTCATGCGTGAATCGACGTATCATAGTCCCCACCAGTGCTGATATAGCCAAGAGAAGATGTTCAGACTTCAGAATGAATTAATGTCGAACCGGCCGCAAGACATTTTGTCAGTGCCAGAACAATCGAAGAAGAAGAAGAAGAATTAATGTTGTGACTCACCCAGAAACGCATCGACTTGTCCTGCAATTCCTTTGATTGCCTTAAGAAATATCTGAGGCAGTGCTTGCAGACACGGATGCTGACAGGGATCGATGACACTGGGACTCGTTATCGCGTACTGGAGGAAGGCTTGGGTCTGGGAAACTACAGCTGGTCGACACAGATCCACTGGATCGCCAACTGTTCGTAAAAGACGGTACCATGCCTGCGCTACCGCTTCGTCGGACATGGTTGGGGGTATGAGCTGGGCATCTTCATCGCCTGATTCAATTCAAATAAAAAATTGATCAATTCAGTGAAGTGTTGATGGAATATTCAGAAGTGGTGAAGCGCAATGTTGAGACTTGCAGAAAATTCACGCATCAAATCATTCTGTTTAAAGTAGCTCTACGCGCTGTAATTTTCGATATTTTCAGTTTTTACATTTTTCAACTAAATTGCATGGAAAAAATTTGAAAAAATCCATACCCAGTCAGTATTATCTAAATTAATTTTCGCAAAATATTGATATATTTTCAAACATTTCCTTCTTATAAATAAATAATAAAACTTGTTTGCAAAAAGGTGGATTATTTTTTATGAGGTATCAAGAAAATTCTTCATTTTTTCACATCTAATAAAAAACAATTCAGATTTTAATCTTTGATTACAATCTTTGATTACAATGGAAATGTTGATTTTCATATAAGACACTGGGTTAAATCCTGATTTTTAAACATTTCTTCTTCGAAAAACCAAAACGATAATTACATTGAGAAAAAAATTAGAATTCCAAATCTAATCGAGTTTTCTACAATTTTTTTTGCAGTTTTCAATAATCTTTGAATTTACCGTAAGGGTAGAGCAACTTTAAGACTTGCAGAAAATTCATGTATCAAGTCATTTTGTTTAATTATGCATCTCCATATGTCCGGATTTTTTCTCTTAAAATTACTCATTACCAAGATCATTTGATCACTTAATAAAGTCAATTCAAATCGTCAAATTTGTGAATTAAATTGGGTGAGAAAAATTTGAGGAAAATGTGAATTTCAGCGACATTAAAATTACATTTTGCAGAGATTCATTTTTTAAAATATTCGTTGTCTATAAATAAATAGTTAAAATTGTTTAAACCTTATTTTTTGAGGCATGAAATGGATTTCTGGTGAATTTCTGAAGAATAAATTTGTTATGGTTCCGAACAAATGATTTTTGTGGTGGAAAATTCATTGTTTATAAATTATTTATTGGAAATGTTAGTAATTTTCAAAAATTACAATTTTAAAATCATTTCGTCAATCTTCCTTCAACAGTAAACTTTTTTAGTGTTTTTGCAGATTTAAAAAATGGATTCTAAAGGTTCAATTTCGAGATTCAAATTCAGACCTGCAAGATTTCAATAATAAACAGGGATCGGCAAAAATTGTCAAGTAATTTTAAAAGAAGTTGAGCGTAGATTAATTACAGTTCCGTACTTTTCGATTTAAATGTGAAAATAATTTTTAATTCTCAATTATAATCAATCAGTTAATTCTAAATATCTGAATTTAATTGATGATTAATTAAATATTTAAAGAATTGAAAATGTTGATTGATAATTATTAAAATAAAAATGACCATAAAATAATTTCAATTCTGTTTTATGATTTTGCCTATCTCTGGTAATAAAATCATTGAAATGTCCGGAAATTTAGGGATTAAATAGGACTCAAACAGTAGTCAATTCGTTAATATCACTTTTAAATTTTAATTATTGGAGTAATCAACAATTTAAACATAAAATTTCCGAATTATTCATTAATCAGCAATCTAGTTAGGAAGATTGATGATTATTTAAAAGAAATTCAGTATTATTTTCTTAATAGAAAATTAACACTGCCATATTATAAAATATTTAATTCACCATCAATAGGAAATTAAGATTATCAATTATTTTACTATTTCAATTTCGATTAGTATTTTTACCCCTTAATCAATGTAAGTCGGAAGTTCTTTTAATATTGAAGTACTGTAATAAAAGTAGAGAAGCATTTCACCGGAGAAAAAATTGCCAAAGCACTTGGATATCATCCTCAGAATCATTTGATCTTGGAGACGAGTCCATAATTACTATGAAAATTAGATCTTTGACATTTTTTAAAAATCCTAATAATTTTTTTTAAACTTATTCATTTACGTTTCACCACTTCACTAATGATTTCATAACATACTGATCTTCAATCCCGGGAACATCGGCCCATACATGATGTTTAATAGTCTCGCAGTTAGAGCGAGACAAACGCGATTCCACTGTTCGATCAGAGCGAGCCGATGTCGCCACCGGAGGCATGACTCCCTCAGGGTTCTCCACAGAGGTGGAGATGGGAATTTTTTCTCGCAAGCAACCAGCCAGACCTCAAGCAAAACCCCGAGGACTCTCTCGCAAAGCTGCTCACCAGCGTCCTCTCGAACTGCTGGAGGAGCCAGCAACGAGTCATTGATTCCAATGAGGAACAGCAGGAGACTCTCCCAAGTCTCGCCGTCTAGAATTGCTGGTCCTCTGGCCACTTGCTGGAGGGTCCTCAGGACTCGGTGGCACAACACAGCTTGTCTGTTTATCGTATCAGTACCTGATGATCATCATTAGGTTTTTGTTATTTAATTTTTTTGTGCACCCACTTCTGGAAAAATTTCACAGAAACATCTTGCGAATTGGCTGGACAATTCTATTGAAATGCTCAATAGAAATGTTTAATAGAAATGCTCAATAGAAATGCTCAATAAAAATAATAAAAAAAAAAGTTCTATAGAATTCTCTGTATTCTCTGCATTTTATAGAATTTTCGGTAAAATTTCCTCGGCTAAAATTTTCCAAGTTTTTTTTTGATTGATTTTATTGGTGAAAAGGAGAGGAAAACAGAATGAAAAAGAAACTTGGAGAATTGAGAGAATTATATAAATATCTGAACATAAAAATCGAATTTCATTGATTTTTCCCATAAAATAGATTCTATTGAATATTTTTTACTAAAAAACGTGTACTAAAGCATTAGAATTGGCCAAAAACTAATAGAATATTAATTGAAGTTCAATAGAAATCCAATAGAATTATTTATTGGATTCGCCAAGTTTTTCTATTAAATTTTTCTGTGCGTGAAATATTCAATGAGATGAAAATGTGTCATGTGGTATTAGTAGAGTATTTTGTTACCTATATCCAGATATAAAAACGGCCAGACTACGGAAAGATTACCAGGATGAGTTGAAAGTTTTCTAAATCATCTTCAGAATGAGAATCTGAGAATTGTCAGAGCACGTATGATAAAATTGAAGAGAAAGTGCAATCTCATTCGCTATAAAATCCCATGAACAGTTGGACTTTAATAGAATTTTATAGAAATCAGCAAACTTGAATTTTTCTGCTCTTATTCTCATGAGATTCATTCTCTAAAAACTAGTTGCATTATTTTTTTTTCATCTTTAATCCAAAAATCTGGAATTTTTATGGAAAAGAAATCTCACAGAATACGAAAATCTAAATCTGTTAATTTCCTTTTAATTTTTGAATTACAAAATTTACAGAAATGAGAAATTTTAGAGGCAATCATTGAAAAAACAGATGGAATTGAAATGAATTTCTGAGCAATTTTCCAGAACTTCCCCTCAAATTTCCTCATACGTAAACCACAATTGCGATAATAATTGTGAATAATATTCTCTTACCTTCGCCTTTCCTTGGCACGAATAAATTATGAAAATGGCTTATGATCTTTCTGGCATAGAAATTGGGATCCTCGATGATAGGTTTTGGAACTGAAATCTTTGGTGATGTGTAGAGGGCGGAGAGCCACTCGCAGTAGACATTAACGCAGTCACGTACGGTGTCGTGTTCTGCTAGGGGTAGGGAGAGACCGAAGCAGATGACTTCCATGCACCACTGGACTTCCCGGTCGGTGTTGAGGGGACTAGTCTCGGCTGCTTGGGAAATGCCGAGATTTGCGGCCAATTGTTTGACGACTGACAGGGCCACTTCGCGACCAGCCCCTGGGGAAAATTTTTCGAGGACACTTCGACTCTCGTCCGAGCCTCTTTGGATTAGGGGGCTTAGGGATGCCCATTCGGAATACATTCCTCCTCCGGAATCCTGAGAATTATCGTGGGAAATTAACTGGGGAGACGGATGTTGAGAGCAACTGATCTCAGATTTCATTAAAAAACCTGGAGAATTCTGTAGAGAATTCTATTGGTTTTTTATTCAACTTCTATTCATATTTTTATTAAGTTTTGGGCGATTCTATTGCGGAATTCCGCTTGACTGCGACTTTTTTTTTATAGAAAATGTCGAATAGAAACTGTTTTACAGAAAAACTCAGGATTTTATTATATTTCTATATTACTTTTTCTATTGAGACATTTTCTACAGAAATTCCTCGACATGAATTTTTTTTTCAGTGTTTTCCTTTTCTGTATTAAACATCGAATTCTATTAATTTTTCTATAGAATATCTTCAGATGAAGATTTGTATTGAAAAAAACACGCAGAAGTGCTACCGAATTTTTTTATATATTCAGCCAAAAACTAATAGAAATCCAGTAGAATTTTTTTTTCTATGAAAATACTTCGACGTTGAAGTGAAAAATTTTGATAGAAATTTTATTGAAAAACCTAGCGAATTGTATAGAAAATTTCGAATAGAAACTGTTTCACAGAAAAAATCAGGATTTTATATTTCTATACTACTATTTCTATTGAGACATTTTCTGGAGGAATTGCTCGACATGAATTTCCTTTTTTTTTCATTCTGTTTACCTTCTCTTTATTTAAAAACGGATTCTATTTATTTTTCTATAGAATATTTCCAATAAACATTTATATTGATAAAAAAGCGCAGAAGTTCTACCGATTTTTTTTATGTATTCATCCAAAAACTAATAGAGAGTTAATAGAAATCCAATAGAATTTTTTAGCAAATTCGTTAGTTTTCCCTATAAAAATACCTCAAAATTGAAATGAAAAATTTGGATAGAAATTTTTCCGTTTTCCATTGGAAATAATTCACCTTTAATATTCAATAGATTTCGATTTTTATACAAAAAAAAAACAAACAGTCTAGATTTTTATTTTTCCACATAAATTATTAACTTGAGATTTTCTCCGTGAAAATTCTTGGTCATATTTTTTTTCATTTTCTTTCCTATTTTTTTTCTTAGTTTTTAATCACAAAATTAGAAACGAAAGCAATTAATTGTGACCTGACACCAGAATTGTGACATTTTGACCTAAATGTTCGCGTATTATCTATCAACAATTAATTCCCGTCAACATCCACCTGAATACACAATTAATTACCCCTCAACAATTATGTACACAAAATTTTTTGAACAGCTAAACCGCCTAGTCCCCCCTATTACCCCCCCAACCATGCATGCGTTTGTATAATTAAGAAGTGTTGAAATTACCTTTAGATTAACTCTGTTAAATACGCCCAAATTCATAGATTACAATCAGCTATAACGGTAATCATACACAAGTGAATATAATCGTCCAGATATTGCAAACACTTGGTCAATAAGTTAGTTAACAACCTCATTAGTTGCGTGAAGCTACAGTTGTAACAGAACAATCGAAAACACCTGTGAAGTGGAATTGTTAGCGGTATGTGTCAAACGCACATTATTTTTTTGGCACTTCAGTCCAACTTCAGTCATGACAGGTCGGAACATATGGGGGGGGAGGGGGGTAGTTAATTGGACTCTCAGATGGACACATTCTGGGGAAAATGGCGACAGCAAGGAAGAAATTGTTTTACAAGTGCGGGGTGGGGGAGAGGGGTCGTTTGTACATACAATCTTAGATGGATAGACACCTTCCGTTTTGGACACGTTCTAGGGAAAAAGGCGATAGTACGAAGGCGGTGGAATAGATGGGCACGGAAATTTGTGGACACATTCCGGCGGGGGGGGG